AATTAGAAAATCTTTAAAAAATAATAGAAAGTTTATCATCTATCCACATCGTGCTGCTAGCTCCTGCAAGCTTTTTTCATCCATGAAGGCATCGAAAACTACTCAGTAATTTTCCATATAAACTTATATATAGTTGTATTTATATATATATATATATATATATATATATTTACAGTGAAAAAAACTTGCCTTTTTCAAATCTTTTACGCAGAGGCATTCAATGTTTTGTAGGCTAAAAACCGGTGCTAAGGATTCTTTAATTAAGGACGAGGCTACGTGTTCGAGTAACTCACCTCATAAATAAGGGCACAAAATTTGTTTTTGCAATTGGCAAATCTTTTCCTAAAGGCAGAACGGTTTATTTAAAAGAACCAAAAACGGTGATCAAATTTTTTAATTTCTTGCAATGTAAAATTCTTTTTACTTTGAGAAAAAAAATGAAGGAAAAATTCACACAACTTGATAAGCGTTTTTGAAACTTTTAATTTGGAACTCTCTTTTGTTCCGACCATTGAAAATTCGGGCGTGTTTTAGTTTTGTTTTCCATGCAAAATCATTTACTAAAAAAAAAAACATCCGACAAGCTTCAGTGTTATAGCTTATTAAAAATTTTTCAGGCGGGATTCGAATTACATTATGAAATTTCCAATACGTTTTCCGGCTGTCGAGAAAATTGGTAAGTGAAACGTTCGTTATATAAAAAAAAATGAGCAGACAGGATTGAAAATTGATTTTAGTTTAGAAAAAAGTTAGTTTTGCAAACCTACTTTAACGCTTCTCGGGCAATAAACAATTTTTCAAAATACTCTAAAATTTCAGTGCCAGAATTTGAAAAAACAAATTGAAACGTTTTTTTTTAAACAATTTTTTGAAAAAATTTTGTTCAAGAAAACACTAAATTTGGTGGAAAAATATATATGTTTTTTGTGAATTTTGCCCAAATATTCTGTGCTACTTGCACCGCAACAAGATATTCCTGTTCTCGTTGTTTCTTTTTTATTTGTAGAAAAAAAGTATTTAAAAAATAGTTTTAGATTTCGAAGGTCTGACAAACAAGGGTCAAAAAACAAAAACACTACGTTAAACTGTATATGAAAAAAATGATTTCACACAAAAATTTGAAAAAGTTTATCATAGTATAGAGGCAAAGCAAAGCTTCCGAGCATTTGCTATACAACGCAAGCGTAGCATTGCAGAAGCTAGAAGAAAAAAAATTAGGCGGAAAAAGTCTAGTGCCCCATTTGAGTCACTTGCTTTTGCCAGTGAAGAAATAATTAATTAACTTGGCTCTTATATATTTTGATTTTATTTTCTGTGAAATTCAGCAAAAAAATTGCTAGCAATTTGAGTTGTAACAATTACCTCATGTTCAAGTCTTTAAAAAGTTGTAGTGTCAGTCATTTTTCAATGCTTTTAAAATGAATTAATTGATAGTAGTAAATAGATTTGATTCGTCAATAAGGACGCGCGTGTTTAGATCTCACCATCTAATGGACGAACTACAAAAGAAGTTATTGAGTTCCAATTTTTCGCCATGTACTTTTTTCTCTGTATTTTTTCAACCAATTTTGAAAAAATTTTTGGCTATGTTCTGCACATAACGGTCATTTATAAATGCACAAAATGGAGAAGATCAGCAATCGATCCGAAAAATCGACCTAGGAGGGATTCTAGTAGTGCCGAATTATGTCCCTAACAACCTTTTTAAATAATTTGACCGTCCATTTTTCGCTTTTATTGCAATCTTTGTAATACATTTTTGAGAAACAACGGAAAACGCAATTTGCTAAGTGCAAGTTATCTAAGAAAGCCTAAGAACCATAAAGTTCAGGAAAATTAAAGCGGCTAAGCTCAAACATTTAAACAAAATCATTGAAACAGTCTATTGCGTTCAAAGGGGTTTTTGTTTGTGATTACCACTGTAAATTTTTATATTGCTAATATATGCTGAAACACTTGCTGTCACATTTTTTTGACTTGATATTTTTAACTCGCTTGCACCGATCATGCACTTTTACCGAACTGTTTATTAGAAAAACAAGTTTTCGATTCGAAATGCCATTGCTGTTCGTGAAGTCAAAGGACTAAAAGCTGGGAACTTTACATGTACACTAACCATTCAAACTGAATTTACCACTTTTTGACAAATTGATTGTTGTGGGCAAATTTTGAAAAATAAAAGTTGAGTAACGGATCACTCTAAAACTTATAGCAATTGAAAATTTGAAAAATTTGTTTTTTTCTAGAAAATAATTTTGTGACATTTTTGATTGCAGTTCGAATCAAGATCAAAGGTCTTTTATATGATATATCTCTCGAGCTATCAGACGTTTGGTTCTGGTAAGTTATTTTGCGAGGCGATAAAGTACAGCCGAACCCATATTTTCATCTTAGTTGGGCCAAAAATTTGTTTTCTATATTTTGTTTTGCGATAATTAAAAAGTAAAGTATGCGTGGTCGGATCATTCGGTGCAATATGGAAATTATCTAAATTAAAACTTTTTTGCATTTTAAACTTCAATAAAATAGATTTGCATAAATTTATTTGAAATAGATAGAAATCACTCACTTTTCTACCCAGCAGGTAGTTGTGCAACACCACTGCCGTCTCCAGGAAAAACTGTCTGTCTGGGGGCAGAAGTGGTTTGTCTGTGAATTTGCGTGACAGGTCTCTGGGCATCTTGTGGATCTCGGAGCAATCTTTGTCCAGCGTGTGGGTCTCGTTGAGACGGGTTGTGCTGTCTGGGTTGTAGCGGCAGTCACAAAAGCGCAGCTCCCCCTGCATACAGCCTTCTCTGATCTTGTACATGAGAGCGGCACTGTTTAGAGTTGACACGTAACTGAACTCTTTGGTGACTAAAATGTCACACTAAATTTAATCTTTCGAAAACCTTTTTTGCTGACAATATAATAACTAGCAGAGAAAAGAGCTCACTTTATAATATAATAATAAATTGTTTCCAAACGATATCTTGTTACAAAGTTACTTATAAAAAATTTATAATTGCACATTAGAATTGTTTGGGAGAACACCATTAAGCCAACACGGCCCGTTTTCAGGTGTCTTATTAGGCGGAGAACAAAAAGTAGTTGAATTCTTCAATCCAATGCAAAGCACCTTCTACCGGTAAGCATTTTTTAAACGTAAAACCTCTTTATTCCCACCTTTAAACCGTTCTCTATTTATATATATATATAAAAAATAATTTCATTTTTTGTTTTCTTGGGTAGTCTTTTCTACCCATAAACTGGAAACCAACAGAAACAAATTCTACTTATTGATCAATAAAATGCCTCAAAGCATGCCCAGTAAAACCGTATTTTCTAGAATGTAATTATCCAAAAATTTATGATTAAAACTATTTAATTGAAACCGAGAAGCCCCATTCAAGAAATTGGGGGCAAAAGGCGAGAAAAAAAATTATTACAAAGTTGAACAATTTTCTAATTTTAAGTGTAATCGACCCTCTGTTGAGTTTATTTCTATTTATAGCTAATTTTTGATTCGTTTTTCTTTTTGAAAATATCACGTTTAATTCTTGTTCAGTAATGGAATATCAACTTGGCACTCTTTTCGAATAATTTTCCCGGTTAATTTCAGAACTTCGTACGCAAAAAATTCTTTTACCGTATATAGTTTATTTTCATGCATTTTATCAGTGATTGAATCCATCCTGTGTTTATAAAAAATTCTTCTGATCAGCCTTCTGACTTTCATTTCCAGTTCTAACAGTTTGGTTTCGTCGGTATTTGCATAAACTAAAACTCCATATTGGAGGATTGGTTGCATATAAGTTTTTTATATGCAAATATTAATTGCCGTCCCGTGAGAAACTTTCCAAATTGAAAAAACACTCCACAGAATTTCAAAACTTTGTTTTTTTACCTTTTCAATATGCTGATGAAAATTCAATTTACAGTCAAGATGAATTCCAAGATATTTAAAACATTCTACATCTTCCATTTGAGTGTCATTTAAAAATATTTGACTGGTCTTTATTCCGTTTTTTTTTGCTCCGACAGTATCTCATGGTCTTAGTTTTTTTGACATTCAGTGTCAATTTGTGCTTGTCTAACCAATCATTTACTTCAAGCAAAGCCGATTGATGTGCGAAAGCAATATAGTCTTTGTTGTTTGTGGATTTCAGAACAGTGTCATCAGCATACAAAAGTACCCCTGTGTTTTTGTGGCTATTTGTAGATCGTTTATGTAGAGTATGAATGAAAGCAGGCCAGGGATAGATTCTTGAGGAACACAAAAAGACACCAGTTTAAGTTCGGTCTTATAAGAGTTAGTTTCGATGTACGGATAGCAATTGTCAAGGTAAGATTCCAAGAGATTTAAGACAGGCCCTCTGAATCCCATATGTTCCATTTTTATTAACAGAATAGAGTGATTAACAGCGTCAAAAGCCTTTGCTAGATCCAAAAAAGTATTCTTCTGAACAGTTAGTGTTTTGTTCGATAGCGATGTTGACACTACTTCCAACAAGGTAAGGATGGCGTCAACAGTGCTTCTTTTTGATCTGAAGCCAAACTTAGTGTTTCGGATGGTATTAAACTTGTCTATATATGATTGGGCTCGTTTAAAAATTAAACGCTCAAAAATTTTATCCAGAACTGGAAGAAGCGAGATTGGTCTATGGTCTGAGGGGTCATCGATGTCTCCCTCCTTGAAAATTGGTACAATTTTTGCAATTTTTAAACATTTTGGATAGATTCCTGAGTTAGGCAGTCATTAAAAATTTTAGTCAAAGGGCCTGCTAGTATAGTTCTGGAATGCTTGACGAGAACAGTGTTGATATCATAGCAATCTGTACTATATTTATTTTTTAGACTTTCGATGACTTCAATGACTTCAATTAAATCAATTTTTTTCAAAAACAACGATTGCTGCTGACAGATAACATGATTTTCTATGCAATTTGGTTTGCTTTGTGAAGGTCTGGCGCCAATGTTTGCGCCAGAATTTCTGGCGCCAAACTTTGCTCGATTTCACTTTTCTTCAGGCGATTTTTTAAATCAGCTTTAATGCAAACCCTAGGTCGCCCATTATGTTTCCATAATAATTTGTCAACAATGTTTAACTTTTATAAAGCCATGAACTAAATTCTACACAATTCATTATTACAGTCGTGGACTATGAAATTGCGCATTCTAAAATTCAAAAGTCAAACAGAGAGGAGAAGCTGAGCTTAGCACCACTTGCGATACACCACAAACGCAAAAAAAACATAAGAAGTCGAAAAAAATGAGAAAAGTTTAAAAAAACTGAATGAACCAAAATATTCATAGTCTCGAGAAAAGACAATTAGGGACCCAGTTAAATCTGGAAAAGGTGTTTGATTTTTTGAAGAGTAAAACAAACGGAAAAAAATCAAACTTATAGATCAAAGATTAACCCCCAGACTTTTTCGAAGGCTGTGGACAGAGGGGTGAAGTAAGAAGAGACTAGAAGAGTATGCAGAGACATAGACGACAAGGCGGTCTTTCTATTGATAACCCTTCTTTTAAAAATCGGTGGAATTGTTTTTGAGAAAAACTGATTTTTTTTTGCAAAAAGTGAGAAAATTTTCCAAAGCGTCTAAAAAAATATAAACCCAATCATGTACATTTTTACAAAACCTGTTTTTATCAAATAGGAGTTATTTTAAGCATTTATGCAAAGCAAGACATTCAACTTTTAAATCAGCAATGGTACGAAATTTACGAAGGGGATACAACTTAACGAAGATGACAATGTTTTAGCAGACAGCAGTTGAGCTGAAAAGCTACAATGAACGTAATACCATGATACTTTATTACACGACAAGAAAATTCCGTGCGATGGCAACTAAGCAGAAAAAATTTTGGCAGGTAAACGAAAGTCCGACAATCGGGAAGGAAATATTCAATTGCAAACATACAAAAAAAAACGAAGTAAGGCCGAGATATTTGAACTTCGGACTTAAGAATGCCTACAGGCCAAGTGTGAACATTGTTAAGATTTATTTTGAAGTAATTCCAAAAATTGCAAGAAGACTAGTTTGAGGGAATGAATACTTGTTTCCGATTACAAGACATTTGCTTTCGCAAGTGTAAACAAACGGAATAATTTACTTGAAGTTTTTAAAAACAACAAAGATGTTTTCAAAGGAAAGAACCTCGTTAACTACACAAAAAATTTGAATTATGCGACTAAAAGCCGTTCATCAGGAAATTGAAGGCTGGAATTATCTTAGAACTTCAGATTTTTTCAGCATAAGAAGAAACTAAACTCTTGTCTGACAATTCTTAAACCTAAATACTATTTTACTGAAACTTCAGTTACTTATTATTTGATGCTGATGCGACTTTCAATCTCTTTCGTTGTTGAAGTTAAATAACACACAGAGGCCAGGCTGAGCTTTGCAGGTTTTGCGATAAAGAAAGCCGCCGACTCGATTAACCAAATGAAAAAAACAACAACAAACAACAGCACCCAAAGTTTTCATTTGTTAGTCCCAAATAAGTTTTTTGACAACGACTTGGGACAAAACACAATGACAAGCCTTGAACTAGCATGAAAAATTTACCGAGCGATAACTGAGCTGAAAAAAAATCTTATAAAAATCTCAAAACGTGAAATTTTTTAAGAGCAGAAATTTTAGAAAAACTTTTGATAATTTTTCAAAAATTTGATGTGCCACTAATTTGATTTAATTAAAAACATTTAAGTCTCAAAAATCATGGGGACTTAACACAACAAAATGCAAAATATGAGTCTAAAAAAACGAAAAAGTACTTAAAAAAAGTTCATCTATTTCATTTTTCTTCGCAAGCTGAAATAATTTGTAATTTGTAAAAAAATTACCCTGCTTAGACTTGAAATTCGATTAGAAAACACTTTACAGACCGAGAGGAAAACAATAAGTGATTGTTATTTTTCAAACGTACACTGTCAAGGTAGATTAACTTTAAAAAAAATGACCATTACTTTTTAAAAAAAAAACATAAAACTTTCAAAATAGTTTGATCCACCTTGTTTCAAAATTTTAGCTAAGAAGTTGTTATTGTTCAATACATCGATCGCAGCTTCAAAATTATCGATATTACCTATGAAATTGATCAAGCCACTGGTCTTTATCTTTTTCTCTCAAATTTTGCTTGCTACCAGTGATGTATTTGAGATGATATTTGCATTTTTTGCATCATTTTTGATGTTAGTAGCTGAGTATTGCTTATTGTAATAAATGGTACCAACTTTAAATTTAACAACCGTCATAATTACAGAGCTGTAAGTAACTTCAACAAAACTGCTCGTGTATCAGGCCAAGCCCTGAATGTTCCGATTTCCCTTTAATTGGTCTCGACTAATTTTTGGTAAAAGAAAGCAAATTTTAGAAAACTCAAGAGTCAAAATATCGAAGATCAAGTGTCAAAATATTAGTCGTACAAAAGGAATACGACCAACTGCAAATTTAGGAAAAACAAATTGTGCGGGATAATTCTCCGTGCACAAATGATTCGCGTTACGCTTCAACATTATGAATAAAATCTTCACAGCGCGCATAAATTATACCAGAGCATGGCCAAATTGCCCAATTTTGAACTTAATTGCAGTTGAAATATCTTATAAAATTTTGATTCAAGGAGTCAAGATTTTCAATGGGACAACTATTAAAGATTGACAACTATTACTTCAATCTCCAAAAATTGAATAACTAAACCAACCACACCAAGCATAAATATTCCTTTTTTTTCGAAAATCGGAATAATGACATCATTTTATGGGGCTTAAATTTGAAGTTCAACGTTTTATTTTTTTACAAAAGATGCACAATTTCAACCATAATGAAAATGAACTGCAACGTCGTCAGGTTCATTGACTCCGATTTTGTTTCCCATATTTCAATTTTTTTTCAACTAAATAGGTACACGGCGGACATTAATCAGCACACAAAAAATCCCATTATTTTGTCTCAATTTATTTAGAGATGAAGCGTAAAAAACAACTCGAGACGCACACTTACTCACACACTAACTCACCAGGGAGCGGGACAAAACTAAATTCTTGATTGCAAAAAAGTACGTTTTTGATTTTTTTTGGTGGTCAAAAAAAAATAGAAAAAGTAAGTACATAAACCTTCAATTTTGTCTTCTAAACGCATAAACTAAAACTTTTGACCGTTTTTTGTCTATATTTTTTTGAAAGTCACACAGTTTTTGAATGAAACTGCTGAGTTTATTTGTTGACTTTCGAATTGTTATCCGCGCAGACAAAATTGGCAAGAATTTTCATCACAAACTTCAATTAATGGATCTTTTGAATTTTTTTGCTCTTTTTCATGGCACATTAGTATAAAACTGAATACTTCTTGTTCATTTTTGTTCGAGTATTTAAAAGTGAAAAAGTCTAAAAAAGTATAAAAATTTGCATTCATAATTTTTAAATTTTTTTTACCTCTCCTACAGTTTATAAGCCACGTAAAATAAAAAACAGCTTTTAAACTGAGCATAGTTAAAAAACTATGCTCAGTTTAATAGCTCAGTTTTTCATTTTGCGTGAATTATAAACTGTGGAAGGAGGGGTAAAAAGAAATTGGACTTAAGAAACTATGAATGCAAAAGAAGCAATGTTTTTGAAGGAGTATTGTCATTAAAGAGATCCAATTATTTCGTCATTCAATTTTTCGTTTCATGCAGTAAAAACTGGTTAATTGATACTTGGCACCTTTTTAGTCTTGATGGCTCCTTAATTGGTTTGATGGATCAGTTTGATAGTTCAGTGGACTGGTGAATAACTGTCAAATTGATTTCTTATTTACCAAACAGGTGCTTCTAATTTAAAATTGAATAATTATCTCATTTTAGTGCTTTTCTCCTGAAGTTTTACCAATTTAAAAGTTAAAACACCATATCTTGCAAACGTTGAGTATTTGCCACTAAAAAATCAGTTATTTTTGTTTCAGTCGATTAGGATAGATTAATTAACAATTCTGCACTCAGATTAACACGCGAAATTTTTCTGTAGTATGGATAGATAAAAAAATTTCAGTATTCTGTAGATCCTATAACCAGAATGAATAATTCAGTTACCCTTTTCCTACCAAAATTTCTTTAGAAAAGTTTTCGTCAAAATGAAGTCATGTTGAACCCTGACATTGTTAATTATTAAAACTAAATCAGAAGTCATCAAGCTGCATTCGCTTCGCTTTTATTCCTTCAAAATGCTAAGCTGTTGGCATCATTACATTCGCCCAATAAATCTAGATTAAGTATTTGACCAATCAAGTTTTAATGACCTGGCCAACGACATTTCTATCACCCTGATGCTTTTAAGACTGCATTAAACTAACATTTTTTGAGCTCAAACGAGAAGCTCTTTCCACCTGTGATTGTATCTGTGTAAGTCGGACACCGCCACAATAGGTGCCTGGACAACCTCCTGCACTCTCTGAGAGCCAAGTTTGTGCTTTCGAACAGAATCTTCTCCAGACCATTGTAGTTATCCAGGTACTTCTGGCGAGATGATAACAGCGACACGTGTTTAAAATCCATCGCCACATAGTCCGGGAGGCCATCCTTCGTACTTGTGGTCGAAGAAGCCGAGTTTGAGGCTGACAACTTTTCATTCATCGAGCCGGCCACATGTAACTTACTCGACAAATTGAGTTCAGATTTTTGATACACCGATGTATCTGTGTACTGTTTTGAAAGTAGAAATGTGTCCCTAAAATTCAGAAACAGTTCCGCACTCAGTTGGAGCTTCACACTGAAAAAATGTTCGACCCTTTTCTCTAGTTTTTAGTCTCAGTTTTTTGTTGCATGTTTCAAATTAAGCTTGGATTGTTCTTCAGGTTCTGAAAACCAAATATTATATATACCAGCGGATTTAGGGGGCAAGGAGCGAACTAATTTTAAGGGGAGAGCGCGCCGAAAAAACGCAATTTTTTGGTCAAAAGTTTCCAAAAATTGCCTAAAAACGCCTTCTTTGGCCTGTTTTTTCAAAACTTTGCCTCAGAAAATCCATTTGGTCGAAGCAGGTTTTTTGATTATTTTCCGGGCTGTTAAATGTTGCCTCACCCTCACAAAGTTTTTGCGAGCAATTTTAAGCACTTTTAAGAAAATTCTGAAGGATCAAGAAGCTTCCTAGCATCCTTTAATATAAAAACTTTGTTTTGAATCTTATCCAAGAAGAAATTGAAAAAAAAATTGTCTCAATAATGCGAAAAAATTGAAACTAAGAGCATATAAAGGGTTCAGTATTCTTTTTTAAAAGAATATTTTATGGATAAGCTGTGGACCAATCAACTCACTTTGAAAAATCTGTAATTTAAGTAAAACAATATAATTTTTTGAAGGGTTTTTATTTGCAATTATACCTGCGGTCAAAACAATCGGCGCTACTTGCACAACAACCGGTTTACGCTTTTTATACAGATTTTAAGGATCGCCTATCAAGATATGAACTCAGGTGAAGAAATCATCAGAAATAGTAGATCAGAACATTTGCTTGGTAGAAGCACTTATGTACACTAATGATCAAGGGCGGATCTAGTATTACCGCGAGGGGGGTTCTTTCGATGCAACTTAATTGGTATTCCGAGTTCTTTCAAAAGTAACTGATATGAGAAAAAATTTCAAGATGATTTAAAAAAATCAAAAAACGAAAAAAAAATCTTTTGCAATTTTTTGTCTAAACTTTGTGTTATTTTCTTTTTTTAGTATGTGCCATTTAATTAGGACAAATTGGAAAAAAATATCGTCAAGTAAAATTAAATTAACGTCAGCCTTTCATCAATATCGTCTAATTCAGTCTGAAAAAAAAAACGAAAAAAAACCAGACCAGTTTTTTTTGACACTGAGAATCACGGCCAAAAGGGCCTCAAAAAGATACCACACTGCACCCTCTACGAGCTTTATGTGAGATGGTCAACATTGACTGAAGACTTGAAACCCAAGTTTTTTTCTAATCCTTGAATGGTCGGAACAACAACAAAAAACAATAACTGTCAGAACCCGACTGGTTAATTCTCAAAAAAAAATGAAGCTATAAAAAAATTTTGCTCAATTATTTTAAAATTAGTGTTATTGAATAAGAGGACAAAGGCTTTTATCTTTAAAATTGACTGTTAAGCTGTCTTTAGAATATTTGAGCTTTGATGGCTTTAAGCTGCATGCAGAATCCAAACCTAAATCTTCCTAAACTCTTTTTTTAAAACTTAATTAAATGCATTTTGAATCACTCGCTGGACCAAATGCAAAATGAAACGAAATAAAAAAACGTATTGCCGGAACAATTTGGTGAAACTTCAATAGCAAACGCAATGAGATCTATTTACAGATTTTTAAAAAAAATCAGTTTTTGAAAAGTAGTTTGAGGAAATATATAACTATTTAGGAAATTGTGATTCGCATTTTTCTTTTGTTGTCATCAAAAATCTTCTTTGAAGGTCATCAGCTAATTACTGCAATGATGATCGCCGAAGACTTTCAAGTAAGATGGGTGTCATCATGTTGGAAAAAGTGGGAAAACGCAAACAAACAAATGCAAATGCGTTTACCGAATCATTTTAAGATTCTGGGTTCCATCTAGGTTTCAGTGACTCAAGTACTATACTAAAAAGGACTGTATAAACCTGCTTAAAGAAGGAGCTTACCACCAGGGTTGTTCAACTTCGGGAAAAATTTGGGCATCTATTGATCGGAAGCACATAAACAGTGCACACAGTCCAAAGTTAGTCATCCTCAAGTCACCAGTGTCGGCCATAACAAAAGAAAACCAAGCAGTTATAAGCAAGGGTATAACAGACCGATCAAAATAACTCATTCAAAATAAATAACCAAGTCAGAGAAAAATGGCGTCAGCGGCCCACATAAATTAAAGTAATCTGAGCAGATCCCAGGTTTTCGAGATTTTTCAGATAAAGAATTCGCGAATTTGCAATAATGTAGACTGTAAAGAAAATTTGCAATTAGGGTCGAAGTTTCGTCCAAATTGGTTTCTCCGCGGGAGGTCGAAAGTCAAACTCGGGTGGAGTATTTTTCACAGGAAGTGTTATTCATTTCACTCCCACATCAAATGCTTTGTATTTGCCATTCGTTCAGTTGCAATTTTGGATAGTTACAATTTGATAGCCAGTCAGCTTTTGGTTGGTTGCTTAGTTTGGTTGGTTGTTCAGCGGCTGAGAGCTAGCAGGGAGCGGCTAATCAACAAAAGGTAAAATAGTTTGTTTGTGTTGATTTCTTTGATAATTTACAATTTTCTCTGTGGGGTTCCACCTGATATCACAGGTGTGCGTTATTGACACTAAGTCGCAATCACTTTAAATCTCGGCTGCGCGGCACGCATTCGCTTCGCGAGAAACTTCACGAGGCTAGCTTGGTAAAATTGAAAATGGATGTTATTAAGCTAATTTCAATAGTTTTAACTGTCGTCTAAATTTACCTACATGAATTTTAATAATAACTAAATCAGAACTGACCAAATCAGCACACAGGTGAAACCCAATAAAACTAAATTATCGTCTGAAAAATTGCAAATATTGGTTCAATTTGACCAACATGATCTTTTTTGCACATAGCTTTTATCGCCCAAACAAATCATAAAAAATTTTGCCGTAATTAGATAAATTATTGTTTAATCAATTTAGTAGACTTTTTAACACCTCTCTTAAAACAACAATTACTAAGACCAAAAAACAACATAGAGAATTTACAAGCCCGTGGCAGTTTCTTTGAAAGACTACCAAAATGAACTTTCAAAGTCTGAAAGTGAAAATATGGAAATTTTACTGTTTTATAGCAGACTTGAAAAAAAGATGCGGCTCGTTTTTCTAACGAAAATCAAAGTTACAACTTGGCCTACGAGTAAATTTTCAATTAAATGAAATTCGAGACCAAAGAATTTATGACGGTGAGAATGAAATAAAACACAGCTTCGGAATGGAAATTTAGCTTCTGATGTTCAATTCAAGACCAGGACGGACTTTTATCAGCGGAGTAAACCTCTTTTCGGATCAGCAACATCAAATAGAGACGATTTCAGATAATGCTCCAATTTTGAAAAAAAATTGGCGCTTTTTGGTCGCTTGTACCAGGAACTGAGGTTGACGACTTACTTAGTCACCATCGCGACCCAAAACGTTTATGCCGCGCTGCTATCATAGCATCTCAAAATGGGTATATTGCTACTTTGTGCGATCGAAGAATTTTTCTGAGTTTGCGCGACCCAAAAAAAGATTACGGGACTTAACGCGACCAATTTTTGTTCACTACTTTGCCGGACCCAGAAGATTCTAAGCAACTTTGCGCGACTTTCAAAACAACAAGAATATTCATGTTGAGATTATGCATGATTTTTGCTCTGAATTTGCGCGACTCATGTTGTGACCACTTTCGTCCATGTCGTGATTTTGCCATGTTTACGTTGCGACTCAAATCTCGGTACAAGTGAGAATTTTCGGCCAAGCGATTGTCGTTTCCCCGACCTAGTTCGGTCGCCACATAAGTTGCCGACCTCGGCCCGGGAATCGTTTTGCAGTGCAATCTAAACATTTTGGACCTCATTTGAGAGTTGATGACTGAAGCTGCCAAAGCTCCAGAACTTGAGCTAATCCAAGCTATTTTTTAGTATTAATTCGGGCAGAGTTCAAGTCATGCTTCAAGTCATATTCAAACCCTTTGTGGTAAGTTAGACTGCAATGAACATATGACCGATATTATATTCTCTCGGTGACCAGAAAAAGCAGTCATAATACTAAGTTTTTAGAAAAATGTAATTTGCTTATAATGATAGATCAAGTGGATCAAAACGAATTAATAGGACAAACATTCTAAATATAACGATTTATAGCCCAATACATTTAAAAAACAGGTTGCATCTGGAAGAAGTTTCTCAAAACATGCCTACTTATCTGCAGCATTGAGCTCATCGAATTGATCCTTAAGAGTTAAAGATTATACGAGCACCGCACTAATTATTTCTCAAGTAGACGAGTCAAAAAACTGCTTTATACCTGCGTAGAATTTCAGCAGTCAAAGCCGTTTGAAAGAAAAACTTCGCCATAATTCAATTTCAATTTCACCTAAATTTTTATGGCCAAGATTGAGTACCAGCCGCCGTTTAGGTTTAAAGCACCTGGTTACTTTGATAAAAATTGAAAGTCTGGTTTTTTATGGTATAGAACACGTGCTTTATATACCGTTCAAAGTAGTGGTATTAGATAGTGAAATAGTAGATTATAAAATTTGTCCAAATACGACAGATTATTCATGTAAAGTTCACTGGAAACTCTTCAAATAAATAAGTAACCCCGCTTAAATCTCTATGAAAATAGAACGATCAAAGTCAAAACTTTAATTTCTAATTATTCACTGGCTGATCAAATACTCGACTTGGTGTTATCTGTTGTGTATTCAAACAATAAAAAACTTCGCGCGGACGAAGAAAAACATGTAGTACCATTTCCGTTATTTTCAAATTAGCGTGACAATTCGTAACAGGCGACAATTCATAACAAGCGACAATTCGTCATAAAGCATTGGCAAGTAGAATACGCTTGCTCCGCTTCCCTCCGCTGCGCTTACATTCGGCACGAGAAGAATAGTGCACATAAATTAGTGTTTGCCGCTGAAGTTATTATTACGAATTGTCGCTTGTTACGAATTGTCGCCTTTTACGAGTTGTCACCTGTTACGAATTATCGCTTCACGATTTTCAAACTCTACTTGATTGTGAATACTATTAAAAAAGACGCGTCTTCGCTCGAATCAGGGAGAAGATGGAATACCAAGCAGCACACATTTTTGGGGAAAATGAAATCTCGGTGCCTTACAATAAACATTTAAATATTTTGACACCTTTTCTGCACTCCCTTGACCTCCCTGAAGAAAAACACAACTAACAGACAGTTGAAAACTACCAATTAGTCATTAGAGTAGACTTTTACAGCCATTTTTGATCCATCGAATTTCCCACCGAGTTTGAGCCGAAAAAAAAACAAACATGAATAGCCTGTCGCTGTGCTTTTGGCACAATATGTCCAGAATACTGCGATATTTGTTTAAAAAAGTATCTTCTCTGAGCAAAAATATTTGATATACTAATTAACTTTGCCTTGTGAAATGTCATTCATATATTTAGTCAGAAGCCAATAAAAACAAAGTGCCAATCAATTTCCAAGTTGTTTTGAGAATTTACATTTGGCTCAATGGATTTAAAAGATTATACCATTCCAGTTCAAGCAAACTCAATGGTTTGAAGAAAGAAACCAGGACAACTCGTATCAAGGCGAAGCCCTGAATCTTCCAAATACCGTTTTAAATCAACCAAAAAAAAATTTTTGGACATAATTTGAGAAACAATAGAAAAAAATACGTTCTTAATTTTTTGATTTTTAATGATTTTTTAAATTTTATCAACCCCCATCCCCCTCATGTTAGTGAAGTACATTTTTTGAGTCTGGTAACGCTCTAATAAAAGCAATTGCTTGCCTTAATTCAATAAGGAATTATTTAATTGCCGCTTAGGCTTAAGTAGCAGGAAAAATATCGCGCGTTTATTATCCAAAATTGGCCAAATCAGCAGCTTTCAAACCCCCATAGCTTACGGAAAACAATCGCAGGTAGGCTATTTTCTCAAATTTGAGCTCAAGGCAGCATTTTGGGAGTATAAAAGAAAACACGTCACAAATGGCTAGCTAAAAATCAAAATTGGTCTGGAGAAAAAACCAACCCGGGCACAATTATTTCGTCTTTGCTTCAAAAAAAGAGGGGAAATGAGTCATAACTGCAAGGAAACAAAAAACACTGAATTTTTTTACACGAGGCGAAGTTTCACTTCGCATACACAAGCAAAAATATGATCGATAACGCTGAGTAAAACTTTCAGTCTACAAAATTTCTTAAGTGACGCACGCCAATTATGACGCATTGGAAGTACCAGTCAATTTGAAAAAAAAAATACCAACTAACTTGCCACATTTTATAGAGCATTCTATGTAGCAGTATTAACATGAAAAAGTTTTAAAAAAAACTTTAATTGAGATTTTTTTGTGAAAACCATCACCCCACACGCCATATCAAGTACAAAGTGATAAATTTCGCTCCTAGTAACAAATCAATATGGCAAATAAGCTTTCTTTAACCAATATAGAACGATTTCAATGACGGATTAAATCTGGCTTACGCGTTAATAGCGCGAGATATATCGCGGGTTAACTGTCCCAAATTGGCCATAATGGCAATCTTAAAGCCCACATAACTTTACAAAAAACGATCACATGTGAAATATCTTTCCAAATTTACGCTCAAGACAACAATACTTTTTGATTGATATAAAAAATCTCGTCAAAAATGACTAATTGAAAAGTCGAAATTTGTCTGAAGAAAAAAAACCCACCCCGAGCACAAATATTCCGTTACTTTCGTATCGAAAGTCGGAACAATAAGTGTTTGAAACTTGTCATTTTGAGTAGATCTGATTTTTGGCTCCATAAACTAATTTTTAATTCCAATTTGTCGTTTGATCTCATTCTACAACTTTGTTATAACAATGATTTCAAATTAGAATACCTTTGTTTTATTTAGTTTGAGAATTTCAAGATCTTTTTGAGAAATCCAGTTACCACTATGGAATAATTGAGACTGTTTTGGAGTCCACGACAAATTAGCTTGTCTGGACTCAATGCCTATCAGTTATATGGTACTGCATTTCGCGTTCAATTGTTGATGCAGTATCCTATGCGTAAGCACGTCAATTCTAGAGCATTGTTTAAGGAGGCTTGTTAAATGAAGTATCTAGTTATTTAGCACCCTAAAAGTTGTCCAATGCTAGAAAATCATGCTGGCATTTTTAAAAAAATATGCATCAATTCATGCGCTATGTTAAGGTGAATAGCTCTAGCTGTTTTTAAGCACGAAATAAACTATCAACAGTAAGGTTCAACTTGAGTTTTAAATATACCACTGGTATTATACTCCACATTTAAAGAAACAAATGCAGGTAGGGTATGCTGTAATTAAGGCACTATAACTTATCCTGTTTCAAACCCCAAATTAAGAAGCTCGAACTGTTGAAAAATGATTGGGAAGATCGCTAAAACCAAACGCCATCAGAACCAAAAATCATCATCATAAAAGCTTATTTCGGCATTGCACCTTGTCAAAAAAACTTGTCCAGCTTAACGCCCGGAAGGGGATGCTCACCTCTTTCGGCTCAAGAATTCGATCATTTTACTCCCCAAAGGGTCCCGCATTGGAAGTAAATTACGATACCACTTTCAGCGCCAACAATTCAACCTTGAGGGAGGGAGAGCATGCGTCGTAAAAAAGACATTTTGGTCAAAACCTTCCAAAAAGGACCAAAGCGGCATTTTGAAACGTTTTTTTATTTACCAGCAGCTCTGAAACTGTTGGAAAAATTGAGCGTTTTTGGTGTTAAATGAAAGCTCGATAAGGTTTTTGAAAAATCTTTTTGAAAAATTGTTGAATCCTTTGTATAACTCTTAGATATTCCCCGGCTTCTAAGTATCATTGCCCTTTAAATCAAGCCCTTAACATGTATCTTTTGCATTTATCCATCTACAGATATTAACTTCTCAGAGAGATTCAACAGGAATTCAAAATTTTTACAGGAACGATTAGTCAACAGCATGCATGGTTCATTAAAAACATGGTCAAGAGAAAGTTGGAAAAGAGTTACAGAAAAAATTTCAAAGAAAACAATAGATGGCCTTAAAACCCTTTGAATTTCAACAATATGCACGAAATAAGGTGAACAGGCCGATAGAAAAGCATCAAATGGCTATTGATTTTCGAGAGAAGGCTGTATTTCATAAGATATACCATGATCTCCAGCATTTGAGATAAAAGAATCGAATCTGAAGATATCTCATTTTTGTAAACTATAAATATACCTCTTAATGCGCTGATGTCAAAACCCAGAGATAAAATATTTAAATTAGCTTTAATTTCTATGGCATTTACTAAATCAACATGAACTGCAAAAAAAACAAGTCGGTCAAAGTTATCCCTTCATTGTCATTCATACAACTCTTCCAACATATGTGCATTTGGGATATGTGAGTTTTAGTCTTTCCCACTGGACGAAAAACATGTCTGCTATGTTTAATCTGTAGAGGATCTTCCCTGTTAGAGAAAGAGTCTCCGTTCTACAGATGCTTTCCACAAACACAATAGTCACTCGGTTGAAGGTCAGCATATTAGTCTAAGCAACAAAACACAACTATCACAATCATTTTTTCATGCAATGCGATGTTCATTAACAAAACGCGCATGTTAATATCGTTCCAATTTTTGAATAAAGCGACGGAATAATTGTCGGGGTGTTTTGTCGTTTTTTATACCATCTGAAAGGTACTTATGTCAAGAACTCAGCTAAAAAACATCTTATACCCTCGATCGTTTTTCGTAAAACCATGGGGGTTTCAAAATGCGGATTTGGCCAATTGGGGATAATTAACGCGCGATATATTTCGAGCTATTTAAGCCTAAGCGGCAAACTAAATCGTTCCAATTTGAATTGAGGCAAATAAACTTATCATATTATTGCGTTACCAGACTCAAATTGTGTGACTTTTTATTTACTAAGTTTGAGGGCGAGATGAAATGAATGAAAAAAAAATAATTTTTTTGAATTTTCTTATTTTATCAATTTTTGACTAAAAAACCTTTTTCTTTGACTTTACGGTAGTCGGTAAATTCAATTCTTCAACCTGATACAAAAAGTGTTGTTTCTGCTACGCCCACTTCGCGCTTGAAACCAAGCGGATAAAATCGAGTCATTTACAGCGGATAAAATTGAGTTTAACAGGCAATTTTTCTATTTTGAGGAAACAAAATTTTCATTCATCTACTTGGCAAATATATTATTATCTCCGGAACCTATCACTTGTTAACGTCATTCATTTAATTCATTTTGGTACTTTCTCCGTTGATTTTTTTCAATTTTCTAAACAGAGCCATGAGAAGGTTAGAGAAGTAGAAATTTGTAATAAAAATGCAAAATAAAGATTTTAAAAAATCCTTGAACGACATTAACTGCACCATTAAACTTAACAAGGAGATTTCGAAATGCCAGAAATATGCCGAACATTCAAAAAGTCAATTATGCGGGAACTAAGCCGACAAAATTAAGCAGACAGGCGATAGTCTAAATTAGCCCAAAGTTTTCAGTTTGCAAAAAAAGCACCGACTGGATTCGAACTCGCAACATGGATATTACCACTACGCCAAGTAGGCAGAATTCTCCTGCAATTTGAATTTATTAAAAAACAAGTAAAACACAAGTAACATTTTCACAATGAGTACTCGGTGAAAGAAATTTTTTACGGGAAAAAAATCTAGTACCCGTTTGCAACACCATAGCTTAAATTTATTATTCCGCTGGGAAATCTAAAAACTTGAAGCAACTTTTGAAACTAGAGATATTTCACGTTTTTTTGCGCCATTTCCGTTTCGTAACTGGAAAGCGCAATTTAATTCCACACTAAAGGAAGATTTTGAATTGAACTCAAACACATAGCCAACAGACGTTTGGAAATGAATTAACAAACGCAAGGAAACAGAAAAAAACTTAACCTTTAGAATCTATTTGAACTTCAAGCCAATTTAATGATTGTCACTTTTTTGATCAAATTAACTCAATTTGAGAAAACCGAATCAACTGGTGAAATTTTTATTCAGCTACTCAGAAAATCGATAAATTATAATCCACTTAGGAAACTAGAAGTCGTTTACGTTTTTCACGCCATGTCTACTTTCATTTTTGGAGAGCGCAATTTACCTTGCTTTCAGCAGATGAATTTGAATTGAACTCAAAACGAGCATATATACTTAAGTGCACTCAAAAACTCTTAATATGTATGAATGCTTATCTGTAGTTCTTAGAGCTTTTTCAGACTTTTTCCTGAAAAAAAAGACATCACGACCTATATAATTGAAAATCACTTCGCTCTTTTACGCTTTCACCTATATTTTTCCATAATGAACGACATACACACGCTAAGATATTCTAGCTTAAGAGCCCATACTTTACTTACAATGAGTGCGGCTATACACACTGGCAGGCATGTTCCTGGCCCATTGACCATCAGCAGATCTGGATTGATCCAGAGTGCTCTGGGAATAGTGGAGAGACAGGCCAGAAGGGTAGAAAAGATTGAAGTGAGGTAAGACTGACCCACTTCTCGACTCCTGGGAATCAGTTGGATGCAATTAGGGTCCACCTAACAGACAACAAACTGACTGATACACGAAGACATGAAATAAGGCATTTAACATCGGAGCCGATGCAAGCCAAAATGATTGATTGGCGAAAACAAACATTCGTTAAGCTTCTGTCAGCTCAGATATTGTTTCCTAGTTACCAAATAGTCATAGACTAAGTCAAAGTAGTCACAGACGCGTTTTTTAATTATACATACAACTATTGTAGAAAAATTGAAATCTTAGACTGTTTTTCACTGTTAAAAAAGACTTCACTAGCACGACGAATTATGGTACTTAAAATTGGTGATTTGCAGTTAAGAGTTCGGCAATATGTAAGCTGTGAATATACATCACTTGATGCTAGAATAGCGATTTAATGTTATAGCCAACAGAGGAAACCAAAAAGATTGAATTCAAACATTTTTCTACTTCAGAACAAAAATTAAATCACGTTAAGCTCTGTGCACTTCCAGAAACTTTTATTGAGTCAACAGGTAATTAGTTTTTTCCGGTGGTACTCAAACTCAAGCCTGGAATCAAAAGCAAACCGCAAAACATCAAGCTTCGCACCACTAGCAAATCCACGCAAAATTAGCATTGCAATGGTTTGAAAAAGAACAACATTTTCATTGCAAGCTTAGCACTGCCAGCTAGCAAATGTTTTCGAAAAATGTCAAGCCACAAATACAAAAACTCCAAATGCTTGTCTCAAATGACGATTCATTTGAGGAAAAACAAGTTCAGCAACACAGTCGTCGGGTTTAATAACTATTTAGAGAATTTCATCGAGCGGTAACTGATCCGACGAAAATTGGGTAAACGCAGGTTCCATTGAGACGGAAAAAATAAGTTGACATGAAAACTTTGAGGTATAAAATACTGATTTTCTAAAAGTTTACCACCACAACCCGGAAACACGAAAGACCTCTTTTCTTTTCAAACCACGCTAAATTCGGTCAATGAGCTGAAACCATACACGCCGAATAAAACAAAAAAGAAATTAAACTAAGTATTACATAAAGTCAGGAGTTAGTAGATTTATAAATTACAGAAACTAATATACAGACAGACAAAACATAAAGAGACAGACAATAGGTCGACAATTTTTTGAAGCGGAAAGCTTTCAGTAAAAAAAAAACAGAACCTCATCGGATTTGAAGCTACACCCTATGCGGTCCCAGCAAAAGAATTTGAAAATATTGTATGTCAAGCTATCAAATGATTCAAGTGATTTTGTTGAACACATTGTTAACTTGAAAAAAGTCTTCATTTCAGATTTGACAACGCTTGCTAGTCGCAAACGTAAATATTTCGATCTATTTCCAAACAATTTTCGCTCAAGAAAAAGTTTTTAGTAACTTCGGATAGATAGCCCATTTTTTTCAAGCAATCTTGGATTGAACATGACAGCTCAAACAGGTTGACTTCTTTGCAACCGAAACAATTTGTGTGCAAAAAAAACTCTCTAACCGATCTCAGCTTCAGTTTTTTAATAGACATGTGGTCTGTGTTGGCCAGGAAATAGTATCTAGGATTGTATATCTCTTTCTGCATGTGATCCAACAGTCTCAGCATCTCAGTCGTGTGTCCACCAGATCCAAGCACTACCAGAGTTCGCTTTTTTCGTCTATCTAATTCACTGCCCAAAGAAAGAGGCGTTTTTGCCTTCAGCTTCAAGAAAAAGAACCTCGTCAGGTAAACTGCTAGTATTAAAGACCCAACAAAAGCTGGGAGTATGTCTAAGGTCATTACATCTGAAAGAAAATTTCTCCGAGCTCCAAAATTTTATCAGATAAAACAAACAGAATTCGATCAATTCTACTGATCGCCATTCATAACTTGAAGCGTTCAATTTTGCAAACGAAAATTGAAATTAGTTGCGTACAATTCAATAACTAAGTAAACGGTTCAAATTTGAACAAAGTTCCAAACAACAGATGTTGCACAATAGGGAATTTGGACAACACCTCAGCTTTGTACATCTTCAGTAGGCCTTCATTCACTTTTTTCCAATGAGGCACAGCAGAAATATTCCACAGCTGATTCGAATGCTCTGAGAAGGGGCCAGTTTTTACCTAAACTAGATCAAATTAAAAACAACTATAAAAAAAAACAACTAAGCCTAGAATACTCGGCTATATTGAGGCGAATGAAACCAATTCAATTTGTAACGAGTTATCATTTTAAGAAAAATAGAACCACTTGATACCGCATTACAGAAGGCTAGAATGACAAAGTTATATTTTCCAATCAAAATTCAGCCAGAGCTTTTTCAAAATTTTGATTGGTTTAGATTTTTTTTATTGGTTAAAAATTCGGTGCCATCGATTCTTTTGCTATTGGAATAACTATCTTCCATTTCCATTAAAAAAATTACCTTATTGATATGGTCAATAGCCGCACAGAGAAGATAATTGTCCTTGTTAGTTGTCATTGCGTCCATGTCTGGTATGTCTTTTGGTTCCAATGCAGACCCAGCCAATTGACTACTGCCGAAATAAAATGGCAGAAACTGATAATCGTCCAAACTGTATACGCCGTGAGAACCTTAAAATTCAAATTAACAATCAAATTCAAAATCTTTTTCGAATCAAAACGCACGTTTTCTATCGTACCTGAACAACGCCTGAAAATAATTTCATGATTATAAATCAATACTTCCATGTTTTTACCGCGAACAGTGGTTTTGAAGGCATTATAGGTCAAATTAATTTACACATGCTTCATTTGAAGCTTTGAGTCGCCAAAGTTTTCGTTTTGCAACGGATTAAGCCTTTTTTGTCAGATTCACTAGCATGCCGAGGGCGGGGGGGGATGGACGACTGCCCCTCCCCTCAGTTCTGGGGTTACCAAGTTTTTCCAAAGGGTCCCCCTTTGGTATAATTTTACGTATCTTTTTTCGGCAAACCAACAACAAAATTTTTCTAAAGGCGCCTTTGGCGCCAATATAACAAAATTTGAGGGGGGAACGTGCGCCGAATAAACGCAATTTTTTTCTTCAAAAAACCGGCCCCTAGAAAAACTTCTGCGCATGCCAAGTTGTAGCTTTTTAGGTCGATCAAATTGATTTTCCGAGCGCTCTGAGAACACTATAAGTGATGACCTTTTCGTTGGTGAGGAGGTCAAAGCCCTGAGAGGGGGAGTCTTCCTCCCCCTAAAACCGTTCCTGGTTGCGGTCTTTTAGTTAATAATCCAATTTCAAACAAAAATCTCAATTTTGGAACAAAAAAAATAGAGACGCTTAGGGCTATTTGAATTTCTAGATAATCGCAAGCGTAAAAAATTCATGATTGACATTTTTTGATTAAATTAACCCAATTTGAAAAAAAAAACTGAATAAATAAGTTAACTTTTCGAACTTTAAAGTCGATTACGTTTTTCATGACGTTTTTCCGTTCGATAGTGGATTTTGCCATACTTTTAACAAAGGAAATCAACTTAGAAAGATATCATAAGTCAAACCACGAAAAAGTAAATTTCTGCTTGCAAAATAAACGAAAAAAAAACATCAGCACGTTTAAAAAATTCTGAACTACTTTCCTCGACTCTTAATAGATCTCGCAAATCAGGCGACAGCTACAAAGACAAAAAAAATTACTTTGGAACAGAAAACAATTACATAATGCATAACATATCCAACACGCAGTGATAAACGTGTCAATAAACAAAAACGTTTATAAACACAACAAAAAGACCACTTTTGTAACTCAATCACGTGTTTCCGTGCCATTTTAAATTTGAAGACCATTTTACATTACATTTGCAAATTGAACTTAATGCGAACATAATCTCATCACAAACATAGCATAGCAACCTTAATCAAAATGACAAACAATTGACTAAGTTGAAATCCAAAAAAATCAGCCCTCTCAAAAATTTCAGTAAGACTTGCCTTGAAGAATATCATTTTGAAAAACCATAACACGACGACAAATGGCAACGGCAAGGACATAAAAAATACAGAACGCCAATATCAGGGTAAATGCACGTAAATCATTACGAGTCCAAACTGTACCCTTTGGCGTATAAGTTCGGGAAGGGCATTGTAGTGGAAACCGCAATAAAGCTGATTTTCTTCGGTATTTTTTGCTGATGTTGAATTCGAGACAAATGACAAAAACATAGCTCAGCTCCAAATGCTAGCTCCAGGCTTTGATCAACTCGCTGATTGCTTTGATCTTTTTGCTCGTTGTGGACTCCACGAGAAAATTTTGCACCGACAAAGTTTACGCCAGCAAGTATCTTTTTACTCGTTGTGGACTCCACGAGAAAATTTTTCGCCGACAAAGTTTACGCAAGCTTAGTGGATTAAATTTCTTGTGGATTAAATAACGCGTTAGACAGTCGAATTTTAAATGGAATGTCAACAGGATTCTGTGCGTGTATAAATATATAGTTTGGCCTCGTAAGTATCCATTTTTACAAATTAAAGTATAGTACCATGAAAAAAAACTTTCGCCTTACAATTGACGCAAAAGAGGCAACTAAGCAGACATAAACAGGACAAAACAAAACTTATTTGCTGCATATAACTACTAAAAACAGAGGCGAAGCAGAGCTTCGCACCACTTGCGATGCAAAAATTGCAAGTCATGAAAAAAGTTATCAAAAAATCAGATTACAAAATTGTTGCAAAAAGATTTTCAAAAATTACACAACCAACAAAATCAGCCTACCTCAGACTTAGTTTTTAAACCTGCCTGCAATGCATCCAAATAATGAAAGAAAAAATGATAAATTCGTCCAGCAATTCTGAAAAAATATATATATCAAAAATATTGAAATTTAAAATTTCTGATTTGATAGCACTTCAAGCTTGCTTGGCTCCCGTTTTCATCATTGCTAACACGATCAAACTACGCAAAACTGGAGAAACAAAAAATTAGCAAACAGCAACCCAAACTGACTTTGCAGGCAAAACGATGAAGTGGACTAGCAATTTTAAATTATAGTATCAAAAAATTTGAGCTTAATTAGTCCTGATTTACTGGTAATTCAGACTTGCTAGGTTCTCGTTTTTCACATTTTCATTGCAAGATTAGCACTGCCAGCTAGCAAATGTTTTCGAAAAATGTCGTTAAGCCACAAATACAAAAACTCCAAATGCTTGTCTCAAATGACGATTCATTTGAGGAAAAACAAGTTCAGCAACACAGTCGTCGGGTTTAATAACTATTTAGAGAATTTCATCGAGCGGTAACTGATCCGACGAAAATTGGGTAAACGCAGGTTCCATTGAGACGGAAAAAATAAGTTGACATGAAAACTTTGAGGTATAAAATACTGATTTTCTAAAAGTTTACCACCACAACCCGGAAACACGAAAGACCTCTTTTCTTTTCAAACCACGCTAAATTCGGTCAATGAGCTGAAACCATACACGCCGAATAAAACAAAAAAGAAATTAAACTAAGTATTACATAAAGTCAGGAGTTAGTAGATTTATAAATTACAGAAACTAATATACAGACAGACAAAACATAAAGAGACAGACAATAGGTCGACAATTTTTTGAAGCGGAAAGCTTTCAGTAAAAAAAAACAGACCCTCATCGGATTTGAAGCTACACCCTATGCGGTCCCAGCAAAAGAATTTGAAAATATTGTATGTCAAGCTATCAAATGATTCAAGTGATTTTGTTGAACACATTGTTAACTTGAAAAAAGTCTTCATTTCAGATTTGACAACGCTTGCTAGTCGCAAACGTAAATATTTCGATCTATTTCCAAACAATTTTCGCTCAAGAAAAAGTTTTTAGTAACTTCGGATAGATAGCCCATTTTTTTCAAGCAATCTTGGATTGAACATGACAGCTCAAACAGGTTGACTTCTTTGCAACCGAAACAATTTGTGTGCAAAAAAAACTCTCTAACCGATCTCAGCTTCAGTTTTTTAATAGACATGTGGTCTGTGTTGGCCAGGAAATAGTATCTAGGATTGTATATCTCTTTCTGCATGTGATCCAACAGTCTCAGCATCTCAGTCGTGTGTCCACCAGATCCAAGCACTACCAGAGTTGGCTTTTTTCGTCTATCTAATTCACTGCCCAAAAAAAGAGGCGTTTTTGCCTTCAGCTTCAAGAAAAAGAACCTCGTCAGGTAAACTGCTAGTATTAAAGACCCAACAAAAGCTGGGAGTATGTCTAAGGTCATTACATCTGAAAGAAAATTTCTCCGAGCTCCAAAATTTTATCAGATAAAACAAACAGAATTCGATCAATTCTACTGATCGCCATTCATAACTTGAAGCGTTCAATTTTGCAAACGAAAATTGAATTAAGTTGCGTACAATTCAATAACTAAGTAAACGGTTCAAATTTGAACAAAGTTCCAAACAACAGATGTTGCACAATAGGGAATTTGGACAACACCTCAGCTTTGTACATCTTCAGTAGGCCTTCATTCACTTTTTTCCAATGAGGCACAGCAGAAATATTCCACAGCTGATTCGAATGCTCTGAGAAGGGGCCAGTTTTTACCTAAACTAGATCAAATTAAAAACAACTATAAAAAAAACAACTAAGCCTAGAATACTCGGCTATATTGAGGCGAATGAAACCAATTCAATTTGTAACGAGTTATCATTTTAAGAAAAATAGAACCACTTGATACCGCATTACAGAAGGCTAGAATGACAAAGTTATATTTTCCAATCAAAATTCAGCCAGAGCTTTTTCAAAATTTTGATTGGTTTAGATTTTTTTTATTGGTTAAAAATTCGGTGCCATCGATTCTTTTGCTATTGGAATAACTATCTTCCATTTCCATTAAAAAAATTACCTTATTGATATGGTCAATAGCCGCACAGAGAAGATAATTGTCCTTGTTAGTTGTCATTGCGTCCATGTCTGGTATGTCTTTTGGTTCCAATGCAGACCCAGCCAATTGACTACTGCCGAAATAAAATGGCAGAAACTGATAATCGTCCAAACTGTATACGCCGTGAGAACCTTAAAATTCAAATTAACAATCAAATTCAAAATCTTTTTCGAATCAAAACGCACGTTTTCTATCGTACCTGAACAACGCCTGAAAATAATTTCATGATTATAAATCAATACTTCCATGTTTTTACCGCGAACAGTGGTTTTGAAGGCATTATAGGTCAAATTAATTTACACATGCTTCATTTGAAGCTTTGAGTCGCCAAAGTTTTCGTTTTGCAACGGATTAAGCCTCTTTTTTGTCAGATTCACTAGCATGCCGAGGGCGGGGGGGGGGGATGGACGACTGCCCCTCCCCTCAGTTCTGGGGTTACCAAGTTTTTCCAAAGGGTCACCCTTTGGTATAATTTTACGTATCTTTTTCCGGCAAACCAACAACAAAAATTTTCTAAAGGCGCCTTTCGCGCCAATATAACAAAATTTGAGGGGGGAACGTGCGCCGAATAAACGCAATTTTTTTCTTCAAAAAACCGGCCCCTAGAAAAACTTCTGCGCATGCCAAGTTGTAGCTTTTTAGGTCGATCAAATTGATTTTCCGAGCGCTCTGAGAACACTATAAGTGATGACCTTTTCGTTGGTGAGGAGGTCAAAGCCCTGAGAGGGGGAGTCTTCCTCCCCCTAAAACCGTTCCTGGTTGCGGTCTTTTAGTTAATAATCCAATTTCAAACAAAAATCTCAATTTTGGAAGAAAAAAAAACAGAGACGCTTAGGACTATTTGAATTTCTAGATAAACGCAAGCGTAAAAAATTCATGATTGACATTTTTTGATTAAATTAACCCAATTTGAAAAAAAACTGAATAAAAAAGTTAACTTTTCGAACTTTAAAGTCGATTACGTTTTTCATGACGTTTTGCCGTTCGATAGTGGATTTTGCCATACTTTTAACAAAGGAAATCAACTTAGAAAGATATCATAAGTCAAACCACGAAAAAGTAAATTTCTGCTTGCAAAATAAACAAAAAAAAACATCAGCACGTTTAAAAAATTCTGAACTACGTTCTTCGACTCTTAATAGATCTCGCAAATCAGGCGACAGCTGCAAAGACAAAAAAAATTACTTTGGAACAGAAAACAATTACATAATGCATAACATATCCAACACGCAGTGATAAACGTGTCAATAAACAAAAACGTTTATAAACACAACAAAAAGACCACTTTTGTAACTCAATCACGTGTTTCCGTGCCATTTTAAATTTGAAGACCATTTTACATTACATTTGCAAATTGAACTTAATGCGAACATAATCTCATCACAAACATAGCATAGCAACCTTAATCAAAATGACAAACAATTGACTAAGTTGAAATCCAAAAAAATAAGCCCTCTCAAAAATTTCAGTAAGACTTGCCTTGAAGAATATCATTTTGAAAAACCATAACACGACGACAAATGGCAACGGCAAGGACATAAAAAATACAGAACGCCAATATCAGGGTAAATGCACGTAAATCATTACGAGTCCAAACTGTACCCTTTGGCGTATAAGTTCGGGAAGGGCATTGTAGTGGAAACCGCAATAAAGCTGTATTTTCTTCGGTATTTTTGCTGATGTTGAATTCGAGACAAATGACAAAAACATAGCTCAGCTCCAAATGCTAACTCCAGGCTTTGATCAACTCGCTGATTGCTTTGATCTTTTTGCTCGTTGTGGACTCCACGAGAAAGTTTTGCACCGACAAAGTTTACGCCAGCAAGTATCTTTTTACTCGTTGTGGACTCCACGAGAAAATTTTTCGCCGACAAAGTTTACGCCAGCTTTGTGGATTAAATTTCTTGTGGATTAAATAACGCGTTAGACAGTCGAATTTTGAATGGAAAGTCAACAGGATTCTGTGCGTGTATAAATATATAGTTTGGCCTCGTAAGTATCCATTTTTACAAATTAAAGTTTAGTACCATGAAAAAAAATTTCGCCTTACAATTGACGCAAAAAGAGGCAACTAAGCAGACATAAATAGGACAAAAAAAAACCTATTTGCTGCATATAACTCCTAAAAACAGAGGCGAAGCAGAGCTTCGCACCACTTGCGATGCAAAAATTGCAAGTCATGAAAAAAGTTATCAAAAATCAGATTACAAAATTGTTGCAAAAACATTTTCGAAAATTACACAAGCAACAAAATCAGCCTACCTCAGACTTAGTTTTTAAACCTGCCTGCAATGCATCCAAATAATCAAAGAAAAACTGATAAATTCGTCCAGCAATTCTGAAAAAATATATATATCAAAAATATTGAAATTTAAAATTTCTGATTTGATAGCACTTCAAGCTTGCTTGGCTCCCGTTTTCATCATTGCTAACACGATCAAACTACGCAAAACTGGAGAAACAAAAAATTAGCAAACAGCAACCCAAACTGACTTTGCAGGCAAAACGATGAAGTGGACTAGCAATTTTAAATTATAGTATCAAAAAATTTGAGCTTAATTAGTCCTGATTTACTGGTAATTCAGACTTGCTAGGTTCTCGTTTTTCAATTGGAACAGCTACTTTTCAAAAACAATATAGGCTAAAAATAATTGAAAACACATTTTCAAATGTGGTAGAAAAACTGAACCGAAAAATAAACAAAAAAATGCAAATAACACCTAAACTCAATTACCTACACGAGAAACAATATGATAAAAACAGCCGATTGAACAAACAAAAGCATAAAAAATTAAAACCAAACTTTTCGTGCAAATTGAAATCGAAAAAATTTTTTTTTGTAAATTTCAAAAACAATTCGTACATATTTTAGTTCTGATCTAGATTTTTCGAAAACGCTTTGTAAGATTTCAACCAATTTTATAAAAACCAACAAAAAGTTATTAAAAAAAATCATTCGGAAAATGATCCGAGGAAATTACCTCGCGGACACTAAGTGCCAAAAAACACCGACATTTTTGGCACAAAAAAACTATTAGAGAAACTCATAACAGGCACAAGGCCCATACCTGACATGCACATGCTATATTGCATCTGTACATCTGTCCATTAAGACACGTGCGAATTCTGTGGACAAAAATGTTTACGAGAAAAAAGTCTAGTACCCGGTTGCAATATCCTTGCTTACCGCAAGGGTAATAAAAACATCGCCTTATGACAGTTGGAAAAGAGTAATGAACACAAGGAAACAAAAAAAAACTTGTTCCGAATTTCAAAAAATTCTTTAAAATTTCATGAACAATTAAAAATTGACTGTTTTGATTTTGCGAAAACGGGGCCAATAAGTAAACTTAATTGCACTGGTGAACCTGAGCATCAAAATCCACTTTCCAAACCTTTCGTGACCTTTGCACTTTTGCTCTGAATTCCACAAAAGAGTAAGAATTTTTGACCTTCAAAACGGTGCCATATAAGATGACTCCGTCGATATAATATAAACAAAATAAAATGGAAAAAGCAAAAAAAAATGAATAAAATTTTTCAACAACAGAATTTTACAATTAACAAAACAACTTTAATGAAATTGAACATTTCAAATTTAAAAAAAAACATTCTTTGTAAATTAGGCTGCTAAAAAGCTCATCAAGTCATAAAAATAGTCTTTGAAAAAAAAATAGGAATTGAGTCGACAGAAATTTGGACGAAGGCTACGAATCCCAAAAATCTTATTTTTTCAATGATTTTAATTGAAAAAATTAAACAGATCCTACAATGAAGTACAAGGTAATTGTATTTGAAATGCCAAGAAACTGAGAAAGTCAGCGCAGCAGCAACTGCAGCAGTTGAAAGTAACAGCAGCAGCATCAGTATTTTGTAAAACAAGTCGTTTACGGGAAAAAAGTTAGTTCCCGATTACAAATACACTTCCTCTCGCAAGTGAAATGAATCGAAAAAATAATTTCACAATAAAAAATTGCGCGCATGGTTTTTAAGAAAGATGTAGCCAATCAGATTGCAGCCAATGTATTTGTGTTCTTAATTCATGTCATCTGAATATTCTGTCGCCTTATTTACCTAGCGCCTTACCCGTACCTGCTGGTTCCATGCAGTATCTCAGCTGCACTTTCCTCACAACGTCCATGTACTTCGCAAACACACGAGTCACAAAACTCCTATTCACTTCAGCATGCTCTTCATCCGACTTTAAAAGAAGTTTATTCAAACACAAGAGAAAAATCAAGAAGTTCATTTCATGTCCAGTTCCGTAGTCAATTCTAGATTTGTTTCCAAATGAATCACACCAGTAGCTGACAAGTTCGACAGATGCCATTTTCAATTCGTCTGGAAGAAGGTTTTGGCATAATTTATCGGCTTCACTCGACATTTTTTCAAACCACGATCGGTATGCTGCATTTCCAAATCTTTGCGGCTGCTCTGAAAACCAAACAATAAATAAAAATCAGAGGACTTATTTTCAAACAGTAATTTTCGAACAGGACAAAAAAGCAGGTTTATGAAGTGTAATAACAAAAGTAGAAATAAGCCTCGAAGTAGCAAAGAATTCGGCAACGCCTGAGATTCGAAACAGCGACATACAGATTCAGAGTCTCACACTCTGACCACTCAGCCACGGAAGCCAAACACAGACACAAATAAAGCAGAGGATATATGCTCTGCAATTTCCAATGTTACAGTGAAATTTTCAAATAACCGAACTCGTTCAATGAACACTTTTTTTTGCGAGTTAGGTTAGAAAAAAAGAAGGTTCGTAACACTACACTACGCTGACGCTAGTGTAACTATTTCAGTTACGTTATATATAAGAGACAAATTCATTCACTAATAAATTTAGCCAAGATGCAGTTGGAAAAGAGCCAATGAACGCTAGTAAACAGACAACTTTGTGGTAGCTGATTTTGTATGAAAAAACTTTTTTCAATGGTCGGAACAATTGCTGCACCTAACTTTGAAAGGATAGGTAACGAGATCAGCTTATCTGCTTCAAGCCTACCCTGACTACTAACACACAATCACAGAATTAATATAAATTTTAAACGAAACAGAAAACATAAAACCTTAAAACAAAAGTTCCCAGCAGGGTACTAACTTATGGATCCAGCGATAAAATCCGGCGCTTTACCGCTGCAACGGACTTTTAAAAAACTTCGTACTTGGGTAAAACATTCCGAACAGGTTTAATGAACACTTAAATTTTATTTTACACTTCCTTTTTACCTTCTCCTGTTCTCCCTATTTACCTTCCTTCCCTTATGCCCTTTTTATAATTGCTGTTGGATTTAACCGAGTAAGCTCATGAGCCCTTCTTACCCGTTTCGAATTTCCCGGCTAGCCCTGGGAATCGAACCAATGGTCCTTGAGTTCCGAGTCGCATCTTTCACCAGTCGCCAAGGGTGCTTTTAAGAAAATATAATTATTTAACTCTGAATGATATAAATGTATAAGACTTCAAATTCATGTGTTATAAAATGTAGTTTACTCAAAGCAAAACACGACGAGTCTGGTGGTAAGAACCCAGTTACTTGGAGTGTATTATACAGCTAGGTATAGAAAATTCTCGAAATTATGGAGCATTTTTCCAGCTTTGTCTTCAAAAGGGATTGGAAAAGCAGCGCTTTAATTGATCTCCGTACTGAATTTCTACAGTTGTTTTCAAAAATGAAAAATTCACATAGATAATTCATTTATCGACACCAGATTAGTTAGTTTTATGAAAAAAGGGTCAATCATAAATTGTTCTGGAAGTTCAAACAGCTTCAAGGCCATCTAATTTTTATTTTCGAATTAGTTTGAAAATTTGAAGCTCATAGACTGACAAAATTTGGTGTTTTACAAAAAGTTTGAGATTTGTTGCGGCGTTTCGGAAAATGAAGGAGCTTGATATATTTTTGTAAGAAAATAGATCTGGGATAAAGAAAATTACACAAGCCATGTACGATGTATGTATTGAAGCTATGGTTTACTATTGGACTTATTAAAGCAGATGAGCTGATCTCTGTGAACAAAATGGCGTAGTTTACAAACAGCTCGAATGAGTTGCTAGTTTTTTCCAAATATGTTGAATTTGTGTTGGAGCTGATGTCTCTTCCATCTCTAAGCACTTGTTAAAAAAAGTAACTTCAACGGCTTCATGGTTGATAGAAAATGATTGGTTTAAATTGGTAGCATTTAACCCTACTTTCAATTACACTGTTTTGTCTAAAATCAAGGCAACTTTGTTAGTAATTAACCAAACACGTACGTTATTTAAATCATTTAGAACTTCTGAAGGTGTGCATCTAAACGTGAAATTGTTTCGCCAGCAAAAAAAACACCCCTTTTTTCCTACACGAACTAGGAAGATCAGTTATATAGATAAGGAATAACAGAGGACCTAAAATCGAGCCCTCTGTCACACCGAAAAGGTTGTGTTGCCAGGAAGAACTTGTTCCAAATACTTATACTGGCTGTTGCCGATTGATTAGTTATTTACTAAACCAATCTGAGATTTAGCTTCTGATTCCCATAAATTTTACATTTATTTTAATCAACAAGTAATGATCAATAGTATCCAACTATTTTTGGATCCAAGAGAAAAACTGTTTTTGCCACTTTTTTCATGTCGTAACCTTTCAGTTTTCTCCACTAAGGCAACAACTGTACTAAGCTTTATTCAGAATCTGAACTGATGAGAATAAATAAATTGAATTTCTCGAAATATTCAAATGCTCTATTGTACATAACTCCTTCATAAATTTTACTCAAAACCTTTTGTATTGCTATTAGACGAAAGTTCTTTAATCGTGCTTTGAACTATCTTTGTGCAGAGGCAAAACTTCAATCGGAATCTTGCCTGCTTGAAAATAAGATAGTTGAATTCTGATAAAATTGGTGAAATTACCGGGGCTGATATATTGATTAATTGGTTGAATTATGTAGCAAGTGGCAAGCAACCATGTAGTTTCGGCTAGCGTGTTGATTAGTCTGTACATTTCTCGGGTGTGTCCTTTCTCATTTGCTAATTCAATCTCGGCTGTCTTTTCAACCAGGTATTTGCTCTTGTCCCTTCGTATTAGTAGCTTTACGCGCTTTCTTTGGTCTGTGACTTTTTTCTGGTTTGCTCTCTTGTTCTTAAGTTTATCTCGTGTCTGGATTGCGTTCACCGTCTCCTGTGTTTTGCTTGTATTTGGTTGTTCCTAGCGTCTTGGCAGCCGTGTTTACTAGAGCTTTATTGATTCGCTCCCATTTCTGGTTTACTGTGGCGTCGCGTTGTACACCTTCCGCGGTCCTGTGTCTTCTTGTAGACTGTTAGCTTCGACTTGAGGGCGCACTGTGTCTTCTTGTAGACTGTTAGCTTCGACTTGAGGGCGCACACAAGCATTCGGTGGTCACTGTCGAGGAGAAGCCCGTCTTTTCTCACGCGGGCGTCACTTATCGATGTGCGCCATCTTCATCTAATCAATAGGAAGTCGATTTGATTTCTTGATTTCCTGTCTCTAGAGTACCATGAAGTTCGTGAATCTTTTTCCTGAACATGGTAATTGCTATGCATAGGTCGTTTGATGCCGAGAACGGGGCCAAGCGACCGCCCTTCCAATGTAGGTGCTTTCGGCTATATGCGCTTGACCGAGCTTTGCGTTCATGGAGTGTCGTCGACTGTGGCTTGGAGACTTTGGTAGAAGTCGTCTTTCGTCGCTGAGTCGGCCTCTTCTGTCGGAGCGTAGCATGATATTATGGTGACAACTGTGGGCTTACCTTTTTGTCTGAGCATGCAGACTCTTGAACTCACAGCTTTCCATAACTGTACAGAACTGTTTATCCTTTTCGATATTGCAATTCTTACTCCATGGATACCCTTGTTCTCTTGATATCCGCTTGTGAGTATCTGGTACCCTTCGGTTTCTACTTTGGATTCTCATTGGATTCTTGTTTCCTGTAGGTATGCCACGTCTATCCGGTGATTCGATAGTGACTTGTCCAGGAGGTCACGTGCTTCTGGATGGAGGAGGGTAACGGTGTTCCACGAGCAGATATGTAGAACTTTTTCGGAATGGTTTAGTGCTTTTGTGCCAATTTTGCTGTTTTCCTCAATGACGGCACTCGTGGAGGCCCCAGTTCACGCGGGGGCGTAGCTGTAGGTGGATTGTGGTTTGTGAGACTTTGCATTTGTGGTTTCTTGGCTAGGTTTTACGGAGGTCGACACTCTCCTTTATCGGGGCTTTGGACCGGCAGTCGGATCTTGTTCAGTTCGACAGGCGGAGTAGTTTCGGCTTACTTGTGCCAATCTTTTGTCAGGGTTCAGACGAGTTGGTCTGAACATCTACAAAATTTGAAATATCTTCATCGACATTCGTTCGTTCGTTAGCAAAGGCATGGCTGCCCATCAACTAGCCACTGATTGCAGCGTCTCGGACCACCGCTCTCTATCTCAGCCTGTCCTGGGCGACTTCCTAGCATATATCTTTCCACGACTTCTTCCAAACATCGTGCCTCATTCTCACAGGCCTGAGGATCGGTTCAACGTCTTCCGCGACGTTCAGTCTCCATGTTTTTTCTGAGGCCACCCGGTGCGCGCTTCCATGACTGAGCTTTTTCAAACATTGATGCTTCTCGAGTTACTCGTTCTACTTCCATTCAAAGTACATGACTACACCATCTTAGTCGCATCTTTAGCAGGTGAGAGTCCAAGGATGTCCCAAGGTTCCCTGCTGCTCGGATGGTGGTGGTGTCTTGATCAGGTCGTGCTCTGAGGTAGCGTCTTACACATCTTGTTTCCCATGAATCAAGTCTTCCGAGGTCAGATTTTTTGACAGTCCATGTTTCCGCAGCATATAGCAGAGCGCTCTTTACGCATGCGTTGTATACTTTGTTCTTCGTGATTCTCGTCGTTCGCTTGTTCTTCCAGAATTTTGCTAATCTAGAGCTGTTGGCAGTGGCGCTTGCGATCCTGTTTTGTACCTGTATATGTTGCCGTTGGACGATATCCGACTTCCGAGGTAGACGAACTCAGTGACGTTTTCGAGCGGGTTGCAGTCGAGGTAAAGAACCGCTGGGTCAGTTCAGGCAAACATGCACTCGGTCTCACGCACGCATCTCACACACGCCCTGTATATTTTCACTCCATACAACTGAACCTTACTTCCGAGGTAGGTGTCATTGTCAACTCGCTCTATTTTTTTCCATGGTGGTCGTGGGGGCAGAACTGCGCATTGTCAACGTTGAATTGTAGACCAACTAACACTGCCCTTCCAGCATGTGGTTTCGTTGGCAGCGTTGCAATGTTCAAAACATCTCTTGTTTAAAACACGTTTAACACAGTGTTTAAAACACAGGATAATTCAGTGTTTGAAACAACTTCCCCTGATTGGCAGATTTTCACTTGACTAACTGAACTGTTTTCGTAAAAAAATCTTCTCGATGGATTTCGTGAACGAGGTATCGAACGACGCGAATGGCTCGAAAGTGCCGAGAAACGGTAAAATTATTCTATTCTGGATTCTTGGTTTGCCGTTGTTTTTGTATCCGACTTTTTCGGAGTCGATCCGACTAAAAATGAAATGAAAAGAGCACTCAACTTGGAAAAGTACGGTTCGCAGACTGCATAGAAATGCATTGTTTTTTATCCAAACATGTTTAAACCGTTTTAAACGTTCAAAACAATTTTTTTTTTCGAAACGTGTTTTTTTGCAACTCTGGTGGCTGGTCAATTTGGCGTCCCTGTGACGACATAGCATTTTCAATTAATTTACTCTTTAAGTGGATAGGGTAGTGTCGATCCAAGGGCCGTTCCTTCAATACATGCTCTTCCAAAAGTTAATACGCACTCTACTAATGACTCAGACGCTGTTCTCTTCATTGTCTCGAATACCTGGTATTTGTTCCGACTATTGAAACTGGTGATTAACTTTGTATTCGGGTGTGCTTTAGTTTTTTTCATGCAATATCAGGTACCACAAAGAATCATCGGAAATTGTCGAGTGATATATCTTAATGAATCTCTTTCAGTCATGATTTGAAAGACATTTGAAAAACTGTCCAAGTGTCGAAAAACACAGTTTTAGTGTCGAAAAACACAGTTTTGAAAGTTTTTCGTTCAGATCCTTTCATCGCACCACGCAGAAAAAAAAATGACACTAGTTTGAAAACATATTTTTCTCAATGGGTATTTTAAACTCTATGGTCGGAATATCCTGTGCTATTTGCACAGTAACCAGGTAGCCTTGTTTCCATATGCTCTTGTAGCTTTTTTCACATCAAGCGCATTATCAAACCGTCAAATCAAAATTCCAACCGGAACTTTTAGCGCACCCACATAGTATGAACCGGTCACAAACAAAACAAAGCCAAGGCAAGATCTTGTTTTTTTAAATCTCCAAATCGGTCACTTGCTACCAAATCTTTTAGAAGACCAGACGTTGTCTTCACGACAACATACCATTCAAGTCTGAGTATGGAAATACAATCCCTGGGTTCCTTTATTTGCATCAGTACAAAATCGAAAAAAAAAGAGACGAAACGCTGCTCAACCTAATTGAACGAGGTCTTATTTCGCAAAAAGAGAAATTGGAAGAAAAACTTCTGCTTTCTATTTCAATTTTTTTCTCCATATTTATTTTTCAAAACTGGCGCTGCCATGCTGTTAAAAAAACCTTGAGAAACCCTTGACCAATCCATGTTTAACTATGAGAAATCAAATGGTATATGTAATGGATGATTACCGCAAATGATTTAAATTGTTAAATTTTCTTTAACTTATAATTCTGACACAACAGGATTATATTCTCCGCTTACTACTAACGGCTGACCACCACCTTCACAGAAATTGGGGTTAAGCTATTGGAGAGATCAGCAAAATATCAGAACGAAAACAGGCAGGAATAACCAGGAAAAACCTTAATAATTGTACTTACGGATGGGTTCTATTTCATCGCATAAGACTGATAGGCGCTCTAAATTATCACATAGAGTTTCCACAAGTTGGTTTCCACTTTCTCCAGCTGAATTATTTTTTCCGTAAGTAGCTCCACTTAAGGAGGTGATAAAATTGATATATTCAAGATAAGCTGTACTGGCAAGCCATCTGCTCATATCCATCGGACTTTTAATTCTCCTTTCTGGAACAGTATAGAGATCTGTTTTTGAAGTCATTTATTGGCATCAATTTAGCACATCTGGAAGATATCACGAAATTCACGAAAAAAAATAGCTAGTAACGCACCTCCGGTGCTTCGAATTTTTAACAACTCAGAAACCGGATATATTGGAAAAGAGATCTGCATCCATTGAGTTTACTCTGACAGAACCCAATTACAGGGTTGGTAATTTCACATTTTGAAAAGATTTTCATTCAAGTTTTAAATCAAATTTAAGTTTTCTGAATTTTTTTTTGAAAAATCATTTAAACCGTCATATCTCGAAAACTACAGGGATTTGAGCAGTCATTGTATAAGGCATCATTCGCAACTCCTGGGAATGCCTTGACAGAGCCTCACTATAGAGATTGGAACTTAAGCTTTGTGAAAACTTTAAAATCTAAATTAAATAAAAATTTTAAAATTAAGTTTTAAAAAAGTTATAACAAACGTCACTTTTCGGAAATTAAAAGCATTTGAGCAGGCACATTTGGATGCAAGATTTTCAATTTGGAACACCTGAGAGTACCCTCACAGTACCCAACTACATGGTTGAGAAACTCAATTCTTTTGAATTTTTTAAAATCTAAGTTTTCTGAAAAACTAAAAAGAAATCATAAACACGTCATATCTTGAAAACTACCAGGAGTTGATTCGTTATACTTGGCGGCAAGATTAGCAACCGCTGAGAACACTCAGACATCCCCCAATTACATGTTAGAAATTTTAAATTTGAGAAAAAATAAAATTGAAGTTTTCTGAAACTTTTTTGAAAAATCACAAAAAACCTCAATACTCGAAAACTACCAGAAGTTAAGCAGTCGTATTTGGAGGCATAATTCACAACTCCTGGAAATATTCTGACAAAGCCTCATTATAGAGCTTGTAATTTAATATATGAGATATTTATGTCTAAATTCTTTAAAAAAAAAGTCATAACAAACATCACCTCTCGGCAACTGAGAGCATTTCAGCAGTTGCATTTGGATGCAAGATTTTCAATTTGCAACAACTGAGAGTACCCTCACAGAACCCAACTACAGGGGTTGAGAAATTCATTTCTTTAAAATTTTTAAAATCTAAATTTTCTGAAAACCTCAAAAGAAATCATAAAACACGTCATATCTCGAAAACTACAACGATTCGAGTAGTCGTGTTCGGAGGCACAATTCGCAATCGTTGCATAAACTCTGACAGCATCCAGCTACAGGGTTGGAAAATTCAAGTTTTGTAAAAAAAAATTCTAATTAGAGCTTACAGAAAATTTTTATAAAAAATCAAAAAAATCGTCGTATCTCGTACACTTATAGGATTTGGGCATTCATAACTGGAGGCCAAATTTGCAGCCCCTGAGGGAACCCTGGTAGCATTCCCTATTTTGTTCCTTATTTTAAACTCGGTGAAACAAACACTGAAATCAAACTGGATAATCGAAACAAAACTCTTAAACACTGCATTACACGATATAGCTTAAGCGTGAAAAAAGTCTTTTGTTAACCTTGCAAGAGGAGCGCGGTCTGATTGTAGACAACCGCGTATTCTTACTCGTCAGTATGCAGACAAATGCCAAATTAACCAATCAGAATTGTGATGAGAAAGCAAACTTACGATCCAAATTATAATGAATTATTCATTTCTTCCTGGACTCGATTCTGATTGGTCAAAACAGTATTTGTCTGCATGCTTATGAGTCTGAATCCGCAGTTGTCTGAATACTTCTACATAATCTATTAATACCATCCAGTTAATCGCAGATATTCGCTCTGTCACACGAACTTCTGATTCCATGAAGTTTTATTGTAATCAAATTAAATCCAAGCTCCAAACAAGTGTGCCAGTCCGTCATATTTGGAAGTTTGACCTTGCGGAAAACGAACTACGTAATTTTGGGAGGAAATTTAATTTTTCAAAAATTCGAATTGAGCCTGTCATGCTCAACTTTCTCGCGAAAACTGAAAAATAAATAGAAGATCAGAACAACCGGTTTACAATCGCGGGAAAGTACTTGAAAAAGCAGCGGGAAATTGCTATTCGCAATTTCCAGATACAAAACAAACGCGCGTAGAGCCGTCCTATCCTGAAATAGGAGAAAGAGTGATTACAAAAGAAGAGTATATCGATTCGAGCTGAACCAGAGTGAACCCTCAGTGGAAAGGTGGACAGCTGGGGTGTCCCAATGGTCCAATCCCAAAACATATTTCTCAAGTCAAAACTCATCTACTTTGTTGGAGTTCGTTAATTACAAACTTCTTGAGTTAAAACTTAATCCCCTTTAATGCTAGAGTTGCTGATTAATTTAGTTACTCCAATTCTTGAGTGTGCTGGTATGTGAGTACCCAATTTAGTTTTCTTGAGTGTGTTTTATCATTGTTATGTTGAGGTAAGGAGAGTTTTAAGTTAATCCATCTGTGCCATTCGGTCATATTTGGAAGTTTGACCTTGAGAGAAGCAAAAAGCACTTAATTTTGGAGTGAAATTTAGTTTTTCAAAATTTCGAATGGAACCTGTCATGCACGATTTTCTCGCGATAACTGAAAATCAGAAAAGAGAAGTCAGAACGATCGAGTGACAATCGCGGGAAAGTTGCTAGAAAAATCAGTGGGAAATTGCTATTCGCAATTTCAGTAGCAATAATAATCGAGAGTAGAGCTGTCCCATCTAAAACAGAGACGAGCGCATTCCTACGAACTGGATTGTTGTGATTGGAGTATTTTTCTAAACTGGACTAGAGTGAACCTTCGGTGGAAAGGTGGACAGCTAGAGTGTCCCAATGGTTCACGAGAACTTACAGTCTAGAGTGAAAACTTGTTCTTGTTATTAAAACTGACTAACATTAAACTCATTTTAGTTACTTTATTGATTCTTGAGTTGCTCACCGACTTATTTACTTCCTGGTTCTTGAGCGTGCTACAAGGTGAGTACTAATTTAAATTTCTAGAGTGTGTTTTATAATTGTTATGTTGAGGTAAGGCGAGTTTTAGGTTGATCCATCTGAAATGGATCAAAGTTCCACTGTCTGATAAAAAGTAACTTAACGGATTGTTCCAACCCGGTTTTTAACGGCGTTCATGTATTTTGGGTATCTAGAGACCTAAGTATGGGGACGTTTCTAATTCTAGAGTGGGGGTATATTTTAGTAGTAGCCTTTAAGCTGTAACGGGTCGTAGTCTCATGTCACAAGCGAACCGAATTGGCTCCGACTGATTTGAGTTACAAAAACACAAGAGATAGTGTCCCTGACTCTTGAGCCAATGGTTATAGGGCCTATTTTTCTTAAGCCTCATGTGTGACTGCAGTAGACGAATGTTACATAGTGTTTTTATGGCGCTCCTGGGTGTTTACGACATCAAGACTACGGAGTCGAACCCACTTGAGACAGCTTCGGGCTGAATGCCTATTCTAGAGTACCGGCGGTACGGTTCGACAGGAACGTGCAAACCTTCCGGTTGTACCGTGATAGCTTTTTAAGAAAAATCAAGAAAACTTCCTGGTACGCTCTCCGAACGAGGCTTAGCTAACCGAGTAAAAGGGGGCAACTAGGGGGACAAAAATACGAGCAAAAAGACAAAAAGCGAAACAAAAACCATAAAACGAAAAAAGACAGTGACTTTGACACCAGATTAGTTGGATCAAACCTTTATATTAATTAAATAGTATACCCATACTGTTTTACAAGTTCGATCGTTTCGATCAACCTAGCAATTTAACCCAGTAACCTCAATAAAGTGCCCGAGTGTGGGGCGTTGTCAAGGGTTTTTAGATAGCTTGGAACTTAGCTGGACAACAAGGAGACTTGACTGGAAGAGGTGACCAGCCGAGTGGGAAAGTGGTTCAGGAGCACTTGAGCTGAACCAATAGGAGACTTGACTGGAAGAGGTGACCAGCCGAGTGGGAAAGTGGTTCAGGAGCACTTGAGCTGAACCAATAGGAGACTGGACTGGAAGAGGTGACCAGTCGAGTGGGAAAGTAGCCAAGAGGGATTTGGCAGTTCTCGAGTTCTCAAGTTGGGCAGAACGGGTATCGTTAAAACTCATACTACATTATAGGAAATAAGTGTAAAATTGGATAAGCGATATCCCCCGGTTTTGAGAAACGTTTTTACTTGAGCAGGCCTGGAGACAGGTGTACGGTTTTCTCTTGAGAGGTTTAGCACCCGGCGCTTAAGGTGATTTTAGGTTTAAGAAGGGGGGCTAAAAAGGGGGGAGGTTAGAAGGGGGGCTGGTTAAGTTAGAGGTTGGCGGTTGTAAATTGTAAAAAGGGGAGAAATTAGAGTAACTAATTGGTCGACATCGTTGATTTAGTTACATTAGTCATTTACACGCGTTGGTCATAGGAAACGGATATCCAAAATTGGAATTAGGTTAAGGTAGGTACCCTGGTCGCATCGGTAGGGGGAAACGGACATAGACAGTTTTTGTGATACCCCATAAGATCGCTAGCAGGGGGGAAGGAAACGCGTGGCAATTAGGTACCAGACATTTTTTCGATAGAAGGTAGACATTTGTCACCTTTGAATTTTAGGTGGGCTCATCTTTCCGTTTTTATTACTTTTTCTGGATTGGATTTTTTGTTGCATTTTGGGGTGGATTTGTGTTTAGTTTGTATACAAACAGGTGATCACAAGATACCTGCGCACAGTTTTTGGTCTCAAGTTGCTTGGAACATTGAAATAGAGGTAACTAAAAAGAAATAAGAAAAAAGGGAGGTCAGCATTTGGCTTTTAAGAGAGGGTTTTTGGGGAAATTTTACTAGAGCTTGAGTGGTGGTACAAGGTACAGTGAATCAAGAAGTCCCCATAACAAAGAAGAGAGAAGCCCCACCGCTCAGACACTTGTCAACAGCCTTGGGACAGTGCCAAAGAAGTCCTGGGACAGTGTTGGACCAGAACAGTCTTGATACAGTCTTGGGACAGTGGTCTTGGGACAGTGGGCTTGGGACAGGGTCTTGGGACAGTGGTCTTGGGACAGTGGTCTTGGGACAGGGTCTTGGGACAGTGGTCTTGGGACAGTGGTCTTGGGACAGTGGTCTTGGGACAGTGGTCTTGGGACAGTGGTCTTGGGACAGTGGTCTTGGGACAGTGGTCTTGGGACAGTGGTCTTGGGACAGTGGTCTTGGGACAGTGGTCTTGGGACAGTGGTCTTGGGACAAGGGTCTTGGGACAGTGGTCTTGGGACAAGGGTCTTGGGACAGGGTCTTGGGATAGGGTCTTGGGACGAGGGTCCTGGGACAGTGGTCTTGGGACAGTAGTCTTGGGACACTAGCCTTGGGATAGTAGTCTTGGGACAGTAGTCTTGGGACACTAGCCTTGGGACAGTAGTCTTGGGACACTAGCCTTTGGACACTAGCCTTGGGACAGTAGTCTTGGGACACTAGCCTTGGGACACTAGCCTTGGGACAGTAGTCTTGGGACACTAGCCTTGGGACACTAGCCTTGGGACAGTAGTCTTGGGACACTAGCCTTGGGACACTAGCCTTGGGACAGTAGTCTTGGGACACTAGCCTTGGGACAGTAGTCTTGGGACACTAGCCTTGGGACAGTAGTCTTGGGACACTAGCCTTGGGACACTAGCCTTGGGACAGTAGTCCTGGGACACTAGCCTTGGGACACTAGCCTTGGGACAGTTGTCTTGGGACACTAGCCTTGGGACACTAGCCTTGGGACACTACTCTCAGGTCAGGGGTCTTGGGACACTGACGGAGTACTGGGACATTACCGAACAGTCTTGGGACAGTAAAAGGAAGCCTGGGACGGTACGAAGAAGAGTAGGGACGGTAACTGGAAGTCTAAGGACAGTATAAAAATTGAAGTAAAATTACAACTGGAATTTTAGAGAACTGGAACAAGGTTTTTATCACGTTGTATATTTTCTTTTAAGAATTTGTTTCCACAAATTTTTTTTATTCTTAGAATAGAATTGTATATAAAATAATATTGTAAATAAGAGCAATTGTAAATAGAAATAATGAGACGGAGTAGGGTACCGGTGCTTGAAAAAAGGTCAAGTGGATCAAACACGAAATATAACTCGTCGCTGCGTGGAACAACATCAAGGGGCCCAGGCAAAACAAGAAATAACTTTTCAGTTAGCATGGTCAGCACGAGGAGTGGCACCGAGAGCAAGACGCGAGAAGATGCGAGGGAAAAAGAGGTGGAGCCTACAATCGAAATCGACCTAGAGACACCAGACCAGAGCGTAGATGAACTAGAGAAAAAGACGACGGAGTCAACTCCAATGCCCAATGCAGAAGAACCAAACCCGAAACCCATAGAGTTCTCACCAATAGACGATGTGGAAGACGCAATAGGCAACACCGAAGAAACGGTGAAAGAAGACTCTCAAGTAAAAAAGACATCTTTTACAGAAAGGTTGGCGATGATGGTCGGAATAAAAACGAAAGAGAACGTGACTGAGGAACCAAAAGCTGAAAGAGCACGAACATTTGGGACAGTGAGCACGAAGACGACAGAAGCCAATCCGAGAGAGGAACAAACTAAAGCAGAAGCAACGGCCGAAGAAAGACCAACGGCTGACCATGAAGAGGCTACTCTTGAGCTAGGTGACTTGATGGCAAAACTGAATCAGATCGACAAAAATCTGAAGCACAGCGAAGAGGACAGAGAAGTGATAAGAAAAGAATTAAGATACAACAAACACGAGTATCTGGATAGTTATTTTAACCTGGCTAAGGCAACAGACGAGAGACTCAAGGAGATGACAGATAAGGTAGAAGCCACCAATAAAGAACGAGAAGAGAACATCAAAAAAGATTTGCAACAGTTGAAAACCGATATGATGATGTCAACAGCCAAATAGGTAGCCTGGAAAAGAGGCTGGACACAATGAGCAAGAATCAGGCCGAAAGGTCAGGTGCAATACAGACGAAATTGGATGCAATCTTGAGAAATTCTACCTCACAAGAAAGACCGGCAGCGGATCGCACGCAAGGCACCAGAGTTGACTTTGTGGAACCACAAAGGGGCAAACGGCAATCGACACCGTTGCCCTTAACCCGGAATACGGTGAGCATAGCACCAACGGCTGATAAAACAATCATGAAAAGTGGGAATTCAAACACAACCAGTGGTCCGGGGGACTCAACAGCTAGCAGCAACGCAGGTCCGGATGCCATGACATGGGCAAGCACTTGGGAGATGATGAACAGGACTCTAGAGGCCTTCGCCACGAGGAACACTAACTCGAGCGATAGGAGAGACGGAAAATCAAGGAAAACTTTCAAGAAGCCAAAAGAATTCAAAGACGACTCAGATGGATGCATTGACACGTGGGTGGAAGTGATGAGATTACATCTAGAACAAGATAACTTAAATGATGAAAGGCAAGCATGCACAGCCATACTCAGTAACCTGGAAGGCACGGCATTGAAATGCGTGGTTGCAAAGAAAGAAGAAGAACGCGATACCGCGGACAAGATCTTCGAGATATTGCTGAATCGATTCGGGTCAGGCATGAAGGGTCACCAAGCGATGATGCGATTTGAAAAGAGAAGGCAGAGGGACGACGAGTCAATAGATCGGTTCCTAGATGATCTCGAGAGCTTGAGAAGAAGGAGTGACCCAGAGGAGTCGACAAACAGAAGAAACTTTAGCATTGCCTCGAAGTTTATCGATGGGGTAAAAAGTGACGAGTTAAGGACAATGTTAGCAACATACTACACATTGTCGAAAGACAGCGCACCAACCCCAGAAGAAATGAGACAGAAATCAAGGGAATACATGCTGATGAAACCCAAGAAATACTCATATACAGAAAACAGGAACACGCAAGGGGGAAGTCAACCCCAGAGGTCGTCATGGTACAAGCCTAGAGACGACATGGACAAGCGCAGATCATGCGCGAACTGCGGGTCGGCGGATCACCACGTGGCTGACTGCACAAAATACAAACAAGGCATGAAGAGTCTAGGATATGCACCAGATGAGGAGGACATGAGCCAGATGGAGGAACACGAGTACTATAGTGGCTTAATCATCAAGATAGGCGCAAGATGCTTCTTCTGTAACCAGGAGGGGCACTTCAGAATGGATTGTCCCTTGTTCTGGGAAGCGGTCAAGGACCAGAGTCACCCCAAACATAAGTTTGCATTAGCGGCAGTGCAGAATCAGCGGAATAGACAAAACGAGTTTGAATCTAGGAACTTAGGAGCACCAAGCACGGAATTGCCGACGAAAACAGTGAAAGCTGTAACACATGTTAATGGTGCGATAGAGTCCGCGGCTGGGAACTCGCTAGAGATAAACTATGAGAAAGCGGCGACGGAAGCAATTGCCAAAGTAAAACAGGATCTGGCTGCGAAAGAAATAGAGCAACGACTAAAGCTGGAGATCGAAAGACAGAATTTCAACGAAGCATTAACCGCATCGAACCAAACACCAGAGGCTGTACCGGGCTCAACAAAGACGGGGAATTGTAACACTGTAAAAATGGTGACAGGAAAGCCATTCGGCATATCGAAAATTGGGGCTAGAATAATGTCGATAATCACAGTGGGCGGCCACGAGGTAACCAGAAACTTGAGCGAACCGAGCGACCAGACGATAATGCACATTGATGTGTACGCAGATTACATGAGCTGTATAAGCCCTCAAACGACTTCTAGAGCCTTGAGAGCACTACTCATGAGAGGGGGCAGCAAGTCGCTACGTGTTGATAGCAGATATACTGAAGCTTATGGTCCACACGAGGTGATGCTAAATATAGATGGGATTAACATCTATACCAAGACGATGATAACATGTGACGAAGACCTAATTGGACAAATCTACGTAGGGAAAGAAGAATTGAAAGTGAGATCGATTGGACACTGCGCCATGCTTGAAGAAGATGCAATGCACATCGGGACGGAGGCAGATGTGACAGGGCACGTGCTGGATATAAGTGGCAAAAAGACTCAGTTGCGTGGGTTGCTTGACACGGAAGCAGTCTTGAGCGTCATACCAATCGAAACTTGGGAGAGGATGGGCTTTGACAAAGGTGACTTGATAGACTCGAGAATACGGCTGTCGGCTGCAAACAAAGGGGCCCTTCGGGTGCTGGGCAGGACGCCGATAATAGCCCTCAATTTGGGGGAACGTAACCTGTGGATGAGCTTTATCGTGGTAGAAAACCTAGATGAATCTGACCAATTCATTTTGGGCAGAGAATTCATCAGGAATTTCGACGTAACGATTGATCTAAATAACGCAATGTTCAGGATACGGAACCCGGATAGGAGGTACGCAATCAAACCGGTAAATTTAATAATGGCAAATGAAAACAAAGCACTGGTATTCTTGAGTAGGAGGGTGAGGCTAAAAGCTAATGAAGCGGCAATCGTAAGTTTGAGGATGAAAAATTACAATGAACTAAGTGACAACAAGCAAGTGTGCATAGTTCCGAATCCTAATAGTCAAAGTGCTGCTGTTTTAGGAAGATCATTTTCGATAACGAAGAGCGGCCTCTGCGTCAGTGTCTTGTTGAATACCCTTGATATACCGATCACGATACAGAGAGGGAGGAAACTGGGATATGCTTTACCGGTTAAAACTCGATATGAAACAATTGAGAACTCAAAACAAAATGAAGTTGTTGATTGCCCCAATCACAGGGACAAAATTTGTATCTTGAGACGATTGCAGAAAATAAAAGATTCTTCAGGTCTTATTAAATCACTTAAGTCAGAAACGGATGATGGTCTTTCGAGCTGTTCGAACTTTCCAGAGCGACCCACACTAGATGAAATGCAAAATGAAAAACCGGTCCTGCCGGAGATTGAACATTTGAGGGGCAAACTGAAAGATGAACAGCTCGAAGCCATCAAGGACGTACTAGAGCGGAACGAGGAAGTTTTGTCGAGGCATAAGGCGGATATCGGGTGTTGTAATTTCGTTGAGCATGAAATAGAACTTGAGGAAAACGCGGTACCACACAGGGAGGGGGCGAGGCGCATGACCCCACACAAATCGGACGCGTGTAGAAAAGAGATCGAGACGTTACTAGAGTATGACATGATAGAACCATCCAAGTCACCGTGGGCGTGTAGAGTAGTGATGGCCAAAAAGAAAGGCGACCAGTTGAGGTTTTGTTGTGACTTTCGATACCTGAACTCCGTCACGGTGAAGGATGCCTTTCCCATACCTAGGATTGATGAGAGCCTCTCGAAGTTAGGTGATGCAAAATTTTTTACGACTCTTGATTTAGGCTCGACCTTTTGGCAAGTACCACTGAGGAAGCAGGACAGGGACAAGACAGGGTTTGCCTGCGAGTTGGGTCTGTTTCAATGGAAACGGATGCCGTTTGGACTTTGCAATGCCACAGCCACGTTTCAGCGGTTGATGGCACACGCGCTGATAGGCGTAACGAAGAAGTATGGCAACCTGGTAATGTGCTACGTGGATGACGTGGTAATAGCGACGCCAACACTGGAAGACCACATTGAGAGACTAGACGAAGTGTTTGCATGCATGAAGAGGTCGGGGCTAAAATGCAAACCATCAAAGTGCGAGATACTCAAGGACTCAATAAAATACTTGGGCAGGATGGTAGACAAGCACGGCATCAGACCTGATACGGACGCCGTGGAAGCAGTCCTGACCTGGAAATCACCGAAGACAGAGCACCAGTTGATGAGCTTCCTGGGTTTCGCTAACTATTATAGAGAGTTCATCAAAGGCTATGCAGACAAGGTATACCCGATGCAACAATTAATGAGACACAAGGGCAAGAAGTTCACGTGGAACAACGCAGCAGAAGAGTCATTCCAGAGGATAAAGAAAGAGCTATGTGAGGCACCAGTACTGGGTATGCCGACTGAGAAAGGGATGTACGTGCTGGACACGGATGCGTCGGTAGTCGCGATTTCTGGGATCCTCCACCAAGAACAAGAATGGAATGGGAAGACAGTCTTGAGACCAATAGCGTACGGGAGCAAAGTCCTGAGTGACACGGAAATGAAGTACGGAGCACCGAAAGCTGAGATGTTCGCGGTGGTTACCTTTGTCGAGAAATACAGGGCATACCTGGGCAGTGAGCCATTCAAGTTGCGAGTCGACAACAGAGCACTGAGCTGGCTGAAAACGTACTCAATGGACCAAAGTTACATTGGGAGGTGGATAGTTCGCCTGGACGGATACAACATGATAATTGAGCATAGAACGCGAGATAAACATCAGAATGCCGACAGCTTGAGTAAGAAGACGGAGTTCTATGAGAGACAAGAGCAAAGAGAAGCAGACAGACCTGAAATCAAAGATGGCTTCTCATTCATGGACAAGGAAACGTACGACAGTCTTCCACTCACGAGATGGCTGGACAAGTCAGGCAAACCGATAGAAGATCATCCTGAATTGCCTAAAGAGCCTCCAGAGAAGACCATCTTGAGGAAGAGCAAGAGGATTCCGATTCAGATTATACTCAAGTCGAAGATCGTGAAGGAGACGCTCAAGGCAAAAGGCTATGATCTCAACCAGGTGGAAGCAGGAACTGCACAGATAGATGATGACTTAATGAGGTTGCTCGAGAAACTATCAGATGATAAGCCCGTGATCCAGGAGAAGGGTCAAGAGAAACCGGAATTCACTATACTTCGGAGAAAAGAGACAGTGAACGATACTGACTCATCAAGAGGAAGCGTCAATGACAGCAAAGATGTCGTGCGGTCACTAGTTGACAAAATCCCCGAAGACATTCTGGAGCAGACCAAGGTTAGGAAAAAGAAAGTGACGTTCAAGGAAGATACTGAACACCTGGGACTAGGTCAAGAGTCTGGGGAGTGTTCCAGGTTCACGGAAGAAGGAACCGGAGAAGGAAAACTGTCCGGGGAGCGTGAAGGATGGGATGAAGACTCGGATGAGTGCAGCGAAAACCAAGACAGTCTGTGCATGATACTGGCGGAAGAGAAGACAAGGCACCACGACAGGGAGTTACAGACGGATCCATCTTCAGGAACATACAACATGGACATACAGGAGATGCGAGGTGGTGAGGAACTTGAGAAAATTGCGGTCGCAAGGAAACCATTCAGGGAACTATCATGCAACTCAAACATCAGAACGAATCTGGTGCCAGAAGATGATATGAAAATCGTGAAAAGGATGATATGCGTGAAACTGAGTGATGACATCCACAACCCTGGTGAGATGAATGGACAGATCATGGCGCTAAAGGAGCATGTCAAGGCAAGATATAGGCTGTCAGACCTAATAAGAGCCCAGAAGAATGACAAAATGACAAATAACCTCTCCAAATGGATCCAGTCGGGGGTCAAGGAGAAGGGGGAACTTGAGGAAGACAGCTACAAGATCTTGAGCCAGTTCTACAAAGAAAAGAAAGACTTACTTTATCACACAGCTGATGGAGTGGTAGCGTGCAAGAGGAGAGATGAGGAAAAGATATTACACAAACACAACCTCATCATACTACCACAATTGTACCAGACAGAGGTGCTTTTCAGATCACACGACCAGATGGGTCACCAGGGGATAGACAAAGTACAACAAAGGATACTTCACAGATTTGATTGGCCAGGAATGAGAAAAGCTTGCGAGAGATGGGTGAATGCCTGCCTGGCATGTCTCCAGGTAAAAGAGCCAAGGAAGATGAAGTTTCCCCTCAAGTCCGTTGAGAGCTTGGAGTTCAATGAAGTGGTGCAGTTAGACCATCAAAAAATCTGCATGACAGAGTCGGGATACAACCAGATGCTGGTTATAATAGATCACTTCACAAAGTTGGCGGAAGCGGTTCCGTGCCAGACAGCCTCGGCCGAAGAGACATGTGATCATCTGATAACGCATTGGATATCGCGGTATGGTTGTCCAATTACTTTCCAGTCGGACAACGGCAAAGCTTTTGTGGGGGACTTGACAAAAGAATTGATGAAGAGATCGCACATTGCTCAAGCACACTCGACGACCTATCATCCGCAGACCAATGGGTTGGTAGAGAGACAAAACAGGACACTGGTCAACATGTTAAGGGTGTACTGCTCAAGATACATGACGGACTGGGACAAATACCTGCCACAGGTAGTAGGAGCCTACAACAGTACACAGCACTCAACTACGGGCATCAGTCTTTTCATGATGTTGACGGGCAGGGAGAGAGCAATGCCTCTGACATTCTTTTACCCGGAATACGAGGGGAAAAGGACGTCGCCTCAGGCATACGTGAAAGAAGCGATCAAAAGACAACAGGAGTTGAACGAGCTATGCAGGAGGAACACGGCGCAAGCGCAAATGAGGCAACGCAGGAAATACGACGAAAAAATATTAAGAGCAAAGCCATATGAAGTGGGCCAATACGTGTGGGTCTTCCAAAATGTAATACCGCCCAAGGGAACAAAGAAACTACTCAAGAAGTGGAGGGGACCATTCATGATAACGGAGGTTCATCAACAAGGACGGTTCTATCGCTTGAGTACTGGGCGAGCGGCACATTATGAAAATCTGAAGCCTCACGTCCCGTCCCCAGAGGATTGGTGCATACCGAAGGACATGGAGGGTCTTGAGTACCTGGTGGTAGAGCCAGCGTGTGAAGTGAATGAGAAAGGTACTCGAGAGAAAAATGATGGTAATGAGAACTTGAGTTTGGACGACAATGAAAAGATAGGAGTGGGGTCTGATGCAGGATCATTTGTAGAAGAAGACTGGAACGACCCGGAGCAAGACGAGGTGCCGAAGTGGATGGAGCCGGATCGACCAACACCACCGGAAACCAGGGCTGGAAATCGTAAACTCACCGGCATGAGGTACAACAGGTACGGGGATGACTTCTTGATCGATAGGATACAGCCAGACAATTTGGGCGAGGAATTACTGAAGGCAGGCGAACTGGAAGCCGGAGAGGAATGGCAGGTCATTGATGATGGTGGTCATTATCCGCAGGATGATTACTCGACGCCAGAAGTAGAAACGGATCTCGAACAGAGTGAGATAGAGAGGAGGGAGAACACGAACTTGAGGATTCTAGAGTGGATGCGTGATGTCAAAGACGAGAGCCGCGAAGGACAAAGCATTCAGCAAGTCGATGTATCAGCAGCAAATTACATGAAGACAGAGGACCCTCTTTTCGGATGGACGGCAACAGACAGGCCACTGGACATTCCTCAGGACAATTCAGACCCGACAACATCGACGGGGACGTCGATAAATATTTTTGTCCGGGGAGTGGGGGTAGGACTTACCCACACCAAAAATTTGATGATAAAGAAGCTCAAGGAAGTGAGAGAAACGAGCGAATTGGGACTGGAGGAAGAAGAGCCAGAGCCTACTATAGGTCGGAATTTCAAAACGAAATTCGAAATACCCAATGAATACTCGGAGAACATCATGATAACGGATAGCGACTTCATCCTGTCAAACAGGACCAGCGCGATCTGCATCACGGCGGACATGAGTTTCAAATCAAGATTGGAAGCTGACTTCAAAAGAGAGTACCAGAATGTAGAGTTTCTGTTCAGACAGAGACCAGGACTGGGAGGGATGGCAGCGCTTCCACCGTCAGTGGCACAAGTCCCGGGCAAATATCTGTGCTTCCTAGTAACGAGGGTCAATGACAGGAACACAATCGATCCCGAACACGTGATATTGGCACTAACAATATTACGAGACTTCATGATTGAAAGAGGGATAACAGAGGTCTCAATGCCGATGTATGACCCAAACAGGGGCAAA